TTATCACAGATGAAAAGGTGAATACATGGCGAGTCAAAAAGAAAGTGACCGTATGATAAAAAAATGGCATTTCGTAAAAAATATAATTGGGATAAAAAACATGTTATTGAGTAGTAACTGTGAACATTTCACGTAATTTGCATACTCTATTCCAAAGTCGTGTCTATTTTAATAAAGAGATCACAAAATTCAGCTGTCCACCACTAATACCAATTTAACAGTCTACGAATTGATAAATATCCATTGATAAATATAATGAAAAAAAAAACGTTTTCCCGCCTCCACGAATAAAGGAAAACTTGAAAAGGAAAATAGAAAAAAATCACCAATATTTCTAGGGAAAAAGAGTTGAATTGTTCCCATATTCAAAATACAAAATCTGACGGTAAAAATAATGTTTCAGTCTTGATTCATAAGATTTAAATCTCAGTTGTATTTGGAATCAATGAGGATGGCTATAAAGTGCTTGTTTCAACAGATCATCCCACAATAAAAACGAGAAATAAGAAGGGAGCAATGGTTATTGGACTATGCCTCACTCACTAGAAAGTGAAGAGAGACATGTCCATTAGCATCACACTGCAGTCACATTTGCCCTAAACTGATTCTTCACTTAACCCTAAAAGGGCCGGGGGCGGAATCCGCCCCCCTCACTTTTTGGCTGGTCTCGATTCGAGACCAGCCAAAATATCGAGACCAAAGGGGACCGAGACCGAGACCAAGACCGAGACCACAGCTCCCGAGACCGAGACCGAGACCGAGACCGGCAAAAAGTGGTCTCGAGACCGAGACCGAGACCGAGACCGGTCTCGAGACCTACAACACTGGCCGTTAGTATTGTTTGGTTCTCCATCATCCCATACCAAGAAGGGATCGCTTCCTTCCTGACCATCACACACCCATATCCCTTCTTCTTCTTTGTCACTGCAAGCAATCCAGGCGTAGTAGTCGCAGTCCACATTTCGTGCCAATTCAACCATGAAATTCATTTCCTCGAGCGAGCGAGGAGCGGCCATCTTGTCTCCCATGTCATGGCAAGCTGTCTTGGCGTCATCCCAAGTATGCGGTGAAGGAGTGAGGCGATAACACTCGTTTCCCCACAATTGCCACTCTGGCGGGCAAGAGCATTGGGCAGTCAGCCGAGAGTGGCAGGAACCTGACCTAAATTGAGCACTCACTGCCGAAGTGATTGCTACAAAGCTAAAAACTTTGAACAGGTACATGATGGATTGTTATTCCGTCGGTAGCAAAGTTTGAAGAGGATCAGATGTGTTCCCTGTACATGTACATTTACATTTGCTTTCAGGAGATAATGATATTGTTGCTATAGTAACATTTTTTCAACGTCCTTCGCAATTTTGATTGGGGCATACTGTTGTATTTTTGGTGCGTAACAAACATTTCGTGATTACATTGAATGTCTGTGATAATGATGGACGAAACGGTGCACAGCTTGTACGACGCCAGTGATGATTGGGATAGAGATATAGGCCTGTGCGTTCAGATATCACTCCTTGTGTTACAGTCGATGGAGAAACTCTAAAACGATTTTCTCTCTGAAATTGAAAGAAATTCGCGCCTCATCAATGTGAAAGCTTTTATTAGCAGCCAAAATGGCCACAATTAGTGGTAAAATATTACGGTATTCGCTTTTAACAATAATTGTTCCCATTGCATTCATGAGGATGTTGGCGTATGCTCACCCAAGTTTCGGTAGTCAACAGATGTGTGGGTTTGTCGACTATGCTTTGGCTACTCCAAGTTTCAATCAATCCATCGCGAAGACGCAGAAACTCTTCTTCAGTCTGTGTCTTGATCATCCCAACTGCAAGTCTACTAACTACATCTTGAAGACACACCATATTTTTGTGATAAAAATTCGACATTTTCAAGAACATGTCGTTTTAAATAGATCGTTGTTTGCTTCCATTTCCATGCAATCGTCGGCAAAAAGAGTCAAGTTAAGTTGGGATTTTTTTAATGTTCTCCAGTTTGCCCATTCATGAAACTGATCACATCATTTGAATGAGATATTAAGAAATATTATTACAGGATGTACGAGTTATTGCAAATAGGTTTGCGTTGCTTAGGTGGGTATTGTTTTTTTATGGCGAGCCAAAGTAACGTTTATATAGCATTAGCAAAGTCTTTAAACAATTTAAAGATACATCTAAATGATTGAGAGATATCTCTAAATATTTTGAGATATTTCTATTTTTTTTTAAAGATAACTCTAAATCATTCAAGAAATAACTCTAAATCTTGCGCACTGGTAAACACAATGACGGTGGCCACGAAAAGCCAAAAATCAGGCCATGGGCTTACGGGAAGCAACCAACTGTACGGCACAAATCACAGTTGCCGACAGTGTCCTTTCCTAACCCCCGTAACATGTCCACAATTCAGGTTACCGGAAACGATTTGGAGATATCTCTAAATGATTTAGAGATATTTCTAATTCAGTTAGAGATATCTCTAAACGTTTTGGATATATCTTAAAATATCTGTAAATATTTAGAGATATATCCCTAAAACAGTCACGGTTCCATCGAGGTTCACAAATTAAGAAGCGCCGCACATGCAGGCAAATGATGTTAATAAAACAATGCATTTCATGTAAAATCGAAGTTGCAAAATGAAAGACTTTCATGTCATTCACGTTGGCAAATAATGCACTGTAAGTCCACGTTGATGCCAACAAAACTTTGCATTTGAACTACAAAAGGATGGCAATAGAAGCGTTATTTAAAAACATTGTTGTGACCAATAAAACGGTGTGTTTAAATCAATCGTTGATGCCAACGTTTATAGATATTTCTAAAAAGTTTAGAGATATCTCTAAATGAATTAGTGATATCTCTAAATAATTTAAAGATATCTGTAATCAATGACAAAGTGTGTCACTTTTTTATCAAAATAATTGGTCTTTTAAACGATTAAGAGAAAACTTGAAGTATTTGGAGATAATATCTCTAAATTTTAGAGATATCTCTAATTCATTCAGAGATATCTTTAAATTGTTTTGAGACTTCGCTAGTGTTATATAAATGTTACTTTGGATCGCCATAGATTTTGGTAGTTTTCGACCGTACGTTTACATGTACGAACCGCGCCCTGTCAAAAACGATGTCACCGTGCGCGGACCGCCAATGTTGGGTCGTCCACTAGGGCACAAGCCCAGCTTGCGCCATGCGGAAAATCACGCTGCGCTATATGGGTCAGCGGGGGGAAAAAACGCATACACGTCGGTGGATACGTCCTTCTTTCTTGAACTGTCCTATTTGCAATAACTCAGAAATGGTATCATTATTTTCGTCTATTCGTTATCTACATGGTAATGTCTTTAATTTATCCAGGAGAACTTGTTCTTATACTCCATTTAGGTTGACTGCAGCATTACTACATCAGCAATACAAACAAACATTGGCGTCAGCCGTGCACTCAACAAACCGAGGTAGGCATGCTATGTTTGTATGTTGGGCCACGTTGTGATGTGGGAAAGTTATCTAAATTATTTTACTAACATCTGATTTTGAATGTTTACAATTCCCAGAATGTATGGTTTCATCAACTAAAAGGTTATACACAAACCGTGCAGATTAATTTCTGCCCATCACGTTAATACTGATGATGCAATTTTACAATAGTAAAACCTTTTACGGGCATATAAGAGCTTCACAGATTTTTTCCAAACAGTTTGTAAATTGTTTTGCCGTCTATCTCATGGGCTTACACTATATACTCGGTTTTGTTTCGTCACAATAGTTGCAAGGAGTTACTGGAGGCAGGCCATGTTGTGAGTGGTATCTACACAATCTATCCTGCTGGATTCAGCCGTGGTCTCCGGGTCTACTGCGATATGGAGACTGACGGCGGAGGATGGATCGTCATTCAGAGGTGTTAAGATGGCAGCGTTGACTACTACCGCAACTGGACTACCAGGTAGGCTTCGGCAACTTGGATCGGGAATGACATCTTGCGCCATCTGACAGAGAAGAGAACTTGGCAACTACGGGTCGATTTAGAGGACTGGGGCAATGAGAGAGTCTACGCAGAATATGGAGAATTTCAAATCTCTGGAGACAACTATCAGCTGACGGTCGGCTCATATAACGACAGCAGCACGGCAGGAGACTCACTGACAAGCAAGCACAATGGCAAGTTGTTCTCAACCAAAGACAGGGACAATGACAATCACCCAACCAGTAGCTGTGCCAAAGACTTCAAAGGTGCATGGTGGTATTACTGGTGTTACCAGTCGAATCTTAATGGCAAGTACTATGCACGTTCTACAAAGGTTGAAAGCATAAGGTGGATGACTTGGAAGAGACCTCTGAATGTTAAGAAATGCAGCCTGAAAATACGACCATAAGTAACTAAATAAAATATGGAGGAATAAAATGCGCCGCGTGACTATTCAATGAGTTTCGATTGTGAGCAGTTTGGGTTTTGTATAATAAAAAAAACATCAATTTTTCTCATTTGCAAAATTTGTCAAATTACTATGTAAATTAACACAGGATACATGAAAAGATGATGGTTGTATGTATATAGGGTGAGTCAAAAAACACGAAACCCAAATGTCGGGACTATTATTTTATTGAAGTTCTGCATGTAGCACTTTCAACATCTAACATATAAAAGCCCAATTCATAAGCTTTCTTTTAGTACAAGAATCATTTAAATCACTTACATACTTTCCAAGTCACGGACTATTAAACACAACCACCGTTTTAAAGTTCTGTCCACGGATCACACAAAAGGTGTGCGTTCTTTTCAGCAAACCTACGTGATTTGTTTTCGTTTTGCTGAAAGAACACTTACTTTTTTGTGATACGTGGACAGAACTTTACAACGGTGGTTGTGTTTAAAAGTCCATAACTTAAAAGGTACATGAGTGATTTGAATGATTCTTGTACTAAAAGAAAGCTCATGAATTGAGCATTCATATCCTAGATTTTGAAAGTGCTACAAGCAGAATTTCACTAAAACAATGGTCCCGACATTTGGGTCTGGTTTTTCTTTACTCACCCTGTATATTTAAAAATATCAAATCTGAAATGTAAATCAAGTTCTGCACATTCGGCTTCTTTATGTTATGCGTGTGATTTATCACCAAGAAGTAATTGTCGGTTGTACCTGTAAATATTTCAATATTCTGCTCCAATTTTAAAAATTTACATTTTTGATGATTAATTATTTTTTTCTTTAGTATCATATTTCTTCAAATTTTTAAAAGATTTTCTTCAAAAAATTATTTTTCCACAAACATATAGCATTCATTTAATGGAAATTGGTGAGGTAATGTACCGGGTTATCACACACTCGATTTGTAGATTGAATAGACATTGTTAAAACTGATTTTTGGAATTGTAAATAAATTATCGTTCACCCTCACACCTCCATGAACAGTTGTTATCATTTTTGCCTGAGCCAATCGTATTCTAAACATCTCCCTCTTGAAAAAAAAATAAACAAACGAAAATTACACCCGAGCACAGTTGTGCATTCGATGCGTTTCACAGTTATCCCCCACTCGTTAAGCAAGCCAAAAGTCCTCCTTCCTATATAGGCTCTGGATCCGCTTCAGCCAATACTGCAGGGGCAAAGTAGTAAATATTATTGAGGTATTACTGTTTTCGTATGATGACAGCGGCATCAAAACCATTAAAGATTGCTTCCCCTGCCGGTCCCGTCTTGGAGCAAGCCTCACTCCCCAAGAACCGAAGCACATCATCTCGATACTCAGCCGGGGCGTTCTGGGCAAAGTTGACCGTATGAGTCAGGAAATCAAGAAGGATGTTGCCGTCTTGAGTGAGTTGCTGAGGAGGATCGAAACAGGACGAGATATCGCACTGGATGCTGATGGTCTGTATCTCCGCTATGGGTATGTTCTGGTTCCTACAGGCATGCTCGACGTCGGTGGACGTGAAGAAGTCTATAGTCATGCCTAAGGTTTGGCGGAGGTGCTGCCATAATCTTCCAAAGCCCCCTTCACCTGGATGAAATGTTCATGAATGTAGAAAAGATAACTGGATACCGGTTCTTTTGGTTCCTCTGACCACATGATTTTACAGGGTCATATAGATCACGTGGAAGTACATTTGTTTGGACTGTGTTATTGTTTTTTCTTCATTAGATGTAACATATTAGTAATGCATCCCATTCACACTACCAACAGAAGTTCATTGACCTGTCTGACATGTACGTGATTTACAGAATTACCCAATAGGCCAATTGATAAAAAGCTTTAAAATTCAAGCGTTCCTCAAATAAAAATTTAAAGATTGGGTATACCTTCCACACAAATGTTCCAAACGTAGCTCGCCGATGGGGTCATGCAAAGATTTTACAACAACAAAAACAATATTCAGTGTAACATTGAAATGTATATGGGATGTTAGATGATGAAGCTAGAAAATACAAACATGGACCTTTACCTTATAAACGAATACGTCAAAACACACATGTATAATTACTAATCATTGACAGAGCGTCTTTGAGAGTTTACTTAAAACCCATATCCATTTATACATGTATGTGCACAATATTATAGGAGACATTTATCCTTTCAATGCTGTCATTACCTGCCATCAACGCCACGACTAGAATTCCCCCGCAGTGCAGTTTCTCGTAGAGATACTTGAGAGACTTCTCCAAGTCTCCACAGTAATAGATGGAGCTGAAGCTGCTGATGAAATGAAACTTGTCCTCTTCCTTGGCGGTGGCTTGATACTCCTGAAATGTCTGCTGTCTCCAGTCAAAGTCTACGTCTTGAAGTTTGGCAGACTCCTTGCTGACCAGGTCTTGGTACTGCCGCATCATGTGGGAGTCAGGTTCCATTATGACAGCGCGAATCTTGGGATGAGCCCTGCCTCGAAGATGGCTCAAGATTCTACGGTCACTGTCCCCTAGAAATAGCATTGGAATTAAAAGATTATCCAAACAATGCGGGATATACCTAACAAAGGTGTTATTTATCCATAGATTTTTTCACACATCTTCAACTGTTTTGCTTGTTCTTAAAATTGGTTATTTATTCGTCCCGAACTTCGAAAGAAACAAGGACTTATTAGTAGGATGAGTAGGGAGTCCCCTTTTCACTTAGGCCCAGCGGCGAATTTCTTTTCCCAAACTGGGAATCATCGCGGTGTGGGCTCGAGTTACCATTTTGTACCCGATTTTTTTTTTTTTTCGAATCTGAGGCTTTGGAGGATTTTTTTTTAAAGAGAAATAAAATCAAATTTTCATTACGTTCGAATTCATTTCTTTCTTATCTAATTTTATATTTGCTTCTCATGTTTCAGAGAAGTAAAGTCCAAAACCCCATAGCGTACACCCCATGCGGATGTCGTTTGGGGAAAAAATCGCGGCCCTGCGCACACCTTGCCGATTCTCATAGGATCATGCGGCCATCGTAGAGAGAGGTACGCGCTGAAAATTCGGACCGATCTGACCGCACACGAATACACCGGGCGATCCGATGAAATCACACGTTTTATTCTGCATCCGATCTCACCGGATCCAATGTCATCGGAACGGTGTGCGGGCAGCACTCCGAGCATCACTTCTCATTTACGACAACAGTAGCACTCATACTTATACATTTTGTAGCCAAGGACGTGAATCCTATTGTTGGACGGATTTTGCCCGAAGTGTTTGTCTGAGGTGACACGTATAGACCCATTGCAGGGGTCTCCGCGTGACGTGGTATACAGTGACAATGTGTCTTTAAAACTGACGTGACAATAATAGACCGGACAAGCCATCACTTCTACCACGGAGGCCCCCTTAAATGGCGAAGCTTTTTCAGGGTAACTGCCGTAGAATAGCCATTGAAGGGGGCCTCGATGAGTGTACATTGATCACGTGATCGGATTCATCTGAACGTTGCGCCTACCTTCTCCGGGTCCCACACTAAGCACCGTCAACTCTTCATCCTCTCGTAAACCAGAACTGATTGACTCAGCCAGCGCAGGTAGATTCTCATCCACCCATTCACTTAACCTCTGAATTCTTCTACTCCCGCGATCATACAGATCAAGAGCAGTATTATAGTAGTCGCCACTCTCTGACAGAGCCTGCAAATCCACAGCAACTTGACGTGCAGTCATATTGTACAATTTGGGGCAAATAATTGTTTCCTAAACGGTTGAAATAGGGCTGAGCTTTAACTGCAATGCGTATGCAGTATTTTCGCAAGAAATTCTCCAGCTTCTTAAGTAGTTTCCCAAATTGGAGCACTTGCAGAGTGCGGACAGGGCATACTATTGAAGGACGAACAACGTCTTTTCATAACCTCACAAAGTCACAAAAGAGATTCGACTACACATCGTGCTACGGTAAATCTAGCATTACAGTCCTATAACTTTCCAGCCTGCAAAGCTTGCTGTCACTGAATAAAATATCCATAACAAAGAGATAAAAGGGGCAAAGTTTGGCCATTATTTGCATATTTACCAACCCACTGAACAACAAACCGACCAAGAAAAGCAACCAAGGCTCCAAAGTGCAGACGAGGGAGCAGCTCTATTTGGGAGTGTTACCCGTCTTGTGCCTTTACACGCCATTGTCACAGGCACGGTTTTATTCGACTACGATTTGTATCGACTACGATACTAAGGACAACTCAAGCTCTCAAAGTTACAGAATACGTAGAGAGAACAGATCAGTTTTCAATCTACCCTTAAAGTTGTCAAGAGAACTGACGTTGCGGATGTTGTGTGATAAGGAATCCGAGAACTGAAATCGAAAAGCCCTGTCCCCTGCCATATTGAATTATCGTGGAACTTTTCTAACCAGTTGTATAGTAAAAAAATCATCTCCCATTTTAAATTTTTGGTCACATTTCAGGGATTAATAATGAAACACTATAAAAACCCATGTCCAGTTAATGCCATTTTTTCATACACCAAAAGAGTGTTTTTTCCGGGTATTTTTTGCACAACTGAATACCAATTTTCCTGACCATTTTGCGGGCTCGGCGTCCATTTGGAAAATTGTCAAAATAAACTCAAAGGAGAATCCTTTATCAAAATTTGTTGCAGCAGATGACAAATTAGAATTAAGAAACTGTAACACATGTTGAACCAATTTTGGAAAAAAACTTTGTCTTTAGGGGCGGGGACACCTTTCATAATTTGGGGGTGGGGTAAAATAAAACTTACAATATATTACAAGATTAACTCGAAAGTCATTTCAATATGTGCTGGTTATACTGAAAAACGATTGTGTTTGTTATTGCATTATATTTGTATGAGACATGAAGCCGTCCGGCCGCGTGAGGTTGCAGACCAGTAAATAGAATTCCATAGACCTCAGTAATAATTAAGTGCACTTGCACTTGCAAAAAAATTAATACTCACAACTCTCCAAGGTGTCTGAGAAACACACGATATTAAAGCAAATGTTTCGTTTCAGTTTCTGTTCAATTGTTTCCGAGTATAACGCCTAACATTTTGGAGAAACTTTAATTCCATCTAAAGAATCCCATCGCCAATTTAAAAAGCATGCCTACGCTCCGTTGCAAAATTGGGCCATTGTAGAGCCTAGCAAAATTGGGCCGTTGTTGTGCCTAGCCTATATACTTTCATGGCCGAATTTCACAGAAATACGAGCTATTAATCCTCTACTCGACTTCCACTTTTCCTTTTTACAACCCCTCAAGCTCATGGCTCTGCTCTAATACCGGACCAAATCGTGATTTGACCGGCGTAGGCAATTTCGGGCTTATATTTACTGGCCTGCACCCATAAGAGTTGACAACTGGGAAAGCACACCAGCTGACCAGGGCAGGCTTGCGACTTGCAGTGAGAGGATGTACAGAGGGCGGAGACGTCAAGCTGGCAGACAAGAGAGCCAGACGCAAGGAGAGGGTAGCCTTAGCTCGAGCCCCATCATCCTTCACCTGCAGCCACTGTGGAAGGGACTGCCAGTCTGGGTTTTTCAGCCACTCTAGAAAGTGCAAGCTCTTCAAGGGACATGCAGGTGAATGTGCTGAACCATCATTTGCCAAGATGCCGACGACGACGATGTAATCATTTGTAATGCATGCATGGCCCCAATGGAAACCAGTTTTAAACTATTTGGGCATGCTCTTTGTTTTAAAAGAAATGTAAAAAATAATTAAATTATTTTAAGAAACTACATTCCCAATTTTCAATTCCCAATACTCGACTTACACAAACAAGCAAACAAAAAGTATACAATTTAGAAACATGGATTTCAATTTACAAGATCTCATTCCGTTTGACTCGTAACAAAGACGTTCAATCGGTCCGTCTATTCCTTGCTCTATGGTCTGTCACTGCAAGCGTTCCTTGTTTAACTTTCGAACAGGAACTCCAGTTTAGAATGAGACAGTGGTTCAAGACTATTTGCCATTTTCATTTCCTGATCGAAATTCCTTTCAGATAAACTAGTAATTTTCGGTCACAATAAAACGCGAGCACAACACAATACATGAACAAGAACACTATAACAACCTCAAAATGCAGACATATCACACACGATATTCCTCGGTCGTGCGTTATTAGGCATATAGGCCTATATATACCCCGGGCTAAACACATGAGAAAGTTTGCCCTCCGGATAAGTAAACTAGCAGAGCTGCCTTCTGACAATACCGTACTATCCTTGAGCTGTCTAACCAAACACTGTCAAACAGGCTCAGAGAATAATTTCCAAACCTGTAGAAGTTCCCCACTCCACTTGTGCCAAGCCTCTCTTTATTTTCCTTGGTGTCCCGAGTAAATACAACGTGAATATAACGGCGAACTGAACACACCACCGGGTGAGGTATTGTTTATGCATCTTCAAATACATTTGGCTCCTTTCTATAGCACCATTGGACCACAAAGACCACTTGAAAGCACCCCAATTGGCAACAGCTCGTCTTTTTTTGGTGGGCGTCAATAGAGTCTATTATTTACATGCAACTGATTTAATTATGTTGACTAGTAGGGGGACGGGACGCGTAATGATGTGTCAACAGTGACATAAATAGCAACAGTGCTTGGAGACTTTGTTCATATAAGTATCTAGGCTTGGCAGCAAGGACAATTTGTGTCGCTCGAAAGCGGTGGTCTTAAGTTATACCATAGGCTAGCCAATTTAAATTTCTTGGAACGCCCATTAAAGGGTGTAAACGCAAACTGGCCACTTGCTGCACTTGCGACAGCTTTTCCTTAATACTTATCCCTGATAAACCCGAGGGATTAACATGAGGAAAAGCCGCACTGTAAAGGATTAAACCCGGCGCTGTACTAAGCCCGCTAAATCTGGCACAGCTAGCTACAGCCACCCTGTCCTTGTTCAGATAAAACACAATTCCTGATGACTCTTGGAGTGAGATCAACAGGTTGACCATACGAAAAGAGGTAAGTTGTTCTTCATTGTTAACTGAAGAGGAATCAAATGCAGTAAATTGACACCACGTTTTACACCTTATGAACTCAATGATGGTCATTGCAAGTACCTTGATGGATTCTTGCGTATACAGGTAATTTTGTTGATAAAAGCTGTTCTCCCCAGCACTGAGGGTACAGCGCTTTTAACTCCTCGTCGATGGGCAAAAACCCAAGCACCAAAAAAATGTATGTATGTGGGGAAAGCATGGATTTGGGAACTGAGAAACATTTCCGATTTTTGTCGGAAAGTGCAGACGCAACATAACACTACCACCAACATTGGCATCGGTATACTTCATATTTTCCTGAAGAAATTTTCTATGGGATATATCGCCAGAAATTGTTTACCTGTTGAGAATTGGGTTTTCACAACTACAGGCTATAGCTGCACAGCTGCAACGGTTAAAGGCCTAAAGATTTAGTTTCATCTCAAATATGTTGTGTTTAGGATTTGGGGATTCCTTGACATGTGAAAATGCAACCTCTGAAAATATATCGCTATTGAAACTTTAGTTTTTCCTTGTTGTTTGTTTTATTTCCACAAAAGGGTTATGTCTACGTTTTTACGTGCATGTTGATTTCCATATTGATTCGGCATCATTATCTTTGATGTACATCAAATATTTTTTTGTAATATACTCTGTTCTAAAAGAAGTTAATTAAATTGTTATCTATCTTTCCCATGTTTAAAAAGGGGCTAGACATGTGAACAAGCTGGCCAAGCCTAGCTACCGAGGCATAAGAAAGATATCTTGTTTCTTTCTAAAATATTATTTTCTGTTTACAGGCGAACAAGAAACCGTAACCCAATTGGATCAGATTGAATATCTACACCAACTTCCAATCCAAGAGAAGAAGGGTCAACTTGATGTCGAAGCTTTCTGAAGAAATTTGTTGTCACACCTTGTGAAAAGCAACTCCGAGTCTCATCGGAATATCAATGAACGATTTCTGCCGAACTACTTCACTGTGAAAATGAGGTTTACAATGTTCTGACTGACGTGGTTGTGTGTTGCATTTAAATAGGTCTACTTGTTACCCCAAAAAAGATGTTCCGAAAGGAGGCTCAGAGACACAACTCTCTAGACAAGAACCACGGGACTGGTCGACAGTGCTGACTCCATAAATGAGGATATTATGAACGGATACTAGACTCTGCTCAAGTTCAAAGACAGCAACATAATGGAGGCAAACAGGTAAGATATCAAGCATGGGGAGTCAGGTTGTCCTTCGGGAAATGGGATCTACTATTATCAAATCCCGCAAGCTCGGTGGTCGAGTGGTAAGACGTCTGCACTAGACAGCTAGGAGATCGTGGGTTCGAGTATACAGTGTTTATACGTCGGTGAAGGGCAAAACCTAATATTAAATTTGCATCAACCCGACGCAAATTCCGTCTTATAATAGATTACTTATAAGTTACTCGCCGTGCATGACAAGGATTATAAATTATAGACAAACAGAAAAAAATGAAACCATTAAGCCAACAAACAGAATATGGCGGACGGTAAAGTCTAGACTATCCAAAATACACGAAAGATAAACATCTGTTACTCTTCTGTGTATTTCCAACTCCCCGTATCGTGACAGAATGACAAAACCAAACATTTACCGACTTTTTAATTAAAACGTAGCAACCCAACCACGACATTCAGGTCAAATGCATGCATGTTTCATTCCCACTTCAATACACAATCGACTGTGTTGATTTAGTATCAAGTAACGGCCCCATAACGTGACTCTAAACCTACATACGGTACCAGCTGCTGTTACAAAAATGTAGAACTTGATCTCTCGATGTTTGGCTCGCGTCGTGAACCGTAATATAACAGATTATTGATCGTGGACTTGATTAGCCTCACAAAGCTATTAAATTCCTATTCATTGTGGGCAAACTGTTTGCCTGGATGGCTGGTGTATTGTTACTGTGTCGCTATCCAAAAAGGATATAACACAGTCGCCGCGCCGCCACTTCAGCTATTATTGAGGCGGAAATTACTCAGCTCTGCGCAACAGAGTGCGGAGCATGCTAGGCCTTACTCTGTCATGATACACGATCGAGTGGCGCTTCGGCCACCTTGAGTTCGATAGGATTGCATCTAGAAGTCGGTCCAACTTCAATGGTGCTGTAAAATTTCATTTTAGTGAAGGTGTTCGGCTAACAGTGTAGGTTTACACACGTGTTGTGACTAAAACTCGCAGGACATCAACATTGTGCGCATGCATTTTGTAAAATGTTTCGAAGCGAATGTGACAGTGAAGAATGCATCGACAAACTAAACACATCTGCAACTGACTCTGCAACTGAGCTTAGAAGAGGAGGAGAAGTAACCGTGTTCGACTCATCAACAACTTTGATGTTCTTCTCTGTTTGGGACTTAGGCCTAACTAAATGCTGAGCACACAACTGTGCTTCATACGATGCAAGTTTTTTTGTTGATTTTTAGCGGACGGCGTCAAAATTACCTTACTGCATGGCATACCAGGGTTTTTAGACTGCAGGCAGGATAAAAGGAAACAGAACATAAAACGGAACATTGGATAAGTCGAAGGGAGTTTTTATTTCCTTGCTCGAAATACGGCATTAGATACTTCTTTGACTTCAACCTCTTAGAATGGATTATTTCTCGGACACGGATAGCGACGAAAGTCTTGAGGAGGACAGGTAAGAAATGAGGCAGTTGAGAAATCTTGACATTATTTTGGGATGTTGTTTGAAGGTTATTCACGAGAGAAGTTGAAGCCCTCAAAATTTGTACCGAAAAGCTTCATTATAATCATGACTATAATCATGTAAGAAACATTGAACTAACACTTTGTAAAGATGCACACTGCAAGCAAAATTATATGTTATCTGCTGTGCTATTATTATGCAGTTGAGCTAGCTGGAAAAAAAAGCTGGAAAAAACGCACATTTCAACCCGGTATAAACGTATCTACTTGAGAGTTTTAGCGGCGAGCAATTATTATGAAACCAGTCCAGACTTTAGATTTTATTCTATCCCCAAATACGGCATGAATGGCCTGTTATTTGTGATCACTTGACCGTCCACTAGGTTACTATAGGTGTGTCAAGTCCTTGTATCGAGTTTGATGAGTTAGTACAACTTTATGAGTGACATTTAAACCAACGATGATAGTTGCAGAGATATGCAGTGACAGACTGTGTCTCCAAATGGGTCAACTTTCATGCATGGGACGCGGCCTCAATTTTTATCATGAGCAAATCATAGCGGGAAAAAAATGCAAATCCCGTGTAGGCCTAATGAGCATCAACTAATCGAGAACCATTCACAAAGAAAAATTGCATTTCATATTTGAGCCGGTAACGTGTTTTTCTTATCAAATATTTCTGTGCTTAGCATTTTGCCTGTGTGCTCAGCAGCAGTTTAGTACTCGAGTACTCGTACTCATGAAAATAAACTACTCGTACTCGAACTCGCAAGAAAAAAATACCCGTGTACTCGTTCTCGTACTCATGACAAAGTATCCGTTTATTCCTAATCTTACAAATGTTATCCCGCAGGAATATTTATTATTTATTTTAAGATATACATTCAGGAAAAGAATTAGCTGCTACTTTTTTTTTATTGGGGGGGTTCTGTGTTAATTTGTTAAATGCCTAGACAGCAACTACAACAACAAACGTGAAACCTGTGACATAATTATTGAAATTTGCTCCTTCTCGTGCAAAAAAAAAAAAAACAAGACTGTACTCGTACTCCTATTCCGGTAAATGTTTGGTGCTCATACTGGATCATACTTGTGTATAAAAAAATTTAAAAAAAATGCTTAGTAAGGCCCCCCAAAAAGTCTCCGGTTTCTGGTATGGAGCTTGCCCCAAAAGTGGTGCGGCGACGCGGCTTTTTTTTTTTTTACCTGGGTTTTTTTTTTTTGGCTTCAAATGTCGGCTGATGACTGCAAATGGTGCCCGACTAAACTTAGTGCAAATATATGGGAGTCCAGAGAGGCCACATAAATCTTATTCTCGATCATAACCCCATCTAAAAACACGTTAAAATTGTGCAGCAGCAAAATTCCAGTCAAACCAGTGAGTTTGGCGGTTTTGAAACAAACTCTTGTATTGAAAAAAAAACTTTTTCATTTTGCCGACGCGCATGGCTACGGCGACGCGCGCGCATACCAGAAACCGGAGACTTTTTTTTTTTGGCCTAATCGTATTCGTAATCGTACTCGTATTTGCACTCATGACAAATTAATCGCACTCATACTCGCAATCATGCTTGGAATATACTGGACTAGAATACTGTTCATCAGCCGTATGTATTGCACCATGTAACCTCAACACCAGATTACCCTGCCATTTGCTTAAGCTAGCTGAAACATCGACAACAGGCAAAACCTCATGTAATAAATATTTGTGTATCCCATAGGCAAGCCATCGTTCACCAGATTTATCATGATAAATTTAATCTTGCCAATTTGGCAAAGAGTCACTCACCTTATCTGCCCGGTTAGCTAACAATAAGCTGGACTTTTCTCATTATTTATTCATTACTGTCCGCAACCGTTCAATTATCACACCTGTTAAAGATTTCTAAAAGAAATCGCGGTTGCCTAATGTGTTGACGAAAGTAATTATGTTAAGTGTTGGGTAAATAATTTGAGGGACGCGATCAATTAGTTGTGTTTGTGCAGCAGTATAGGTCTTAACGCACACTATAGAGTTCTGCTACACTGAACCGCAGATAGTGTATCACATGCAGTTTCCATTCAGTAAGTGTTGAATCATCAAGGACATGACGCTGATTTTATGGTGCAAATATAAATTTACGAGCTGAAAATCTGACGCGAAATGAACAAAAACTATAACATGCTTGCGCGTCACTTCAAAATCAACCCGTGAATTCAAAATGGTCCGGAACCGTTAATTCCTAACCAATGTATTTTTTGATCAATCCAATTCCGATATCGGAACGTGAGGCCACCTTAAAGGCCGCCTTTTAGATCTACTTCTTTTTTGATACGACATTTTTTTGTTTTGGAGGAGCTAACAAAGTGAGCGCTTCCTTTGGTCACTAGTTTCTTTGTTTTCATTATTTGTCAGCAGGAGAAAATCCATTGAATAGGCCTAACAGTTTTTCAACAGAAATACTTAAAAAAATAAGAAATAAACAACAGTAATAAGAGAGTTCATAATGTTTTAGGCTGTCTATCTTTCTGATTTAGGGTTGTGCATCGGAACTGGGTACCCGAGTACCCGACCACTGATGTCAGGATCCGGTTCCACTAGCAACCGGTTCCATTATGGAATCGAGTACCTGTACCCATAACAAACTTTACTTTAAGTAACTTCTCAGACAAGTGGACCTTTATGAACAATCTGCACAGCAACTTCCTAGATTTAAATTTGGGGTTGGGTTTCTTACCGGATACCCAGGTCCCCGTGTGGGTTTTTTTTCCTATCGGGTATCCGTACTACGATTACCCGTACTACCCGTAAATGCACACCCCTATTCTGTTTGGAATTTTCTTTTTGTCCCACTCCTATTAAACATTTATACATAATTTGTTTCAGAAATACGGTAGAGAAACCATGCCTGTATAGTTCGAAATTAAAATAGTCAATTTTCAATTTTCTATGTTGAAATCAATCGTACATGCATATTTAATTGCATGCCGAGGCCCTTGATTTAGATGATAATCGTTCACTGTCCTTTCTCAAAGAAGGCATAAGACGGAATTTATTGCCAAGTTGGTTGACTCACTCATTACCATCAAGAAATAAGATACATTGAAAAATGTTATTTTGCTAGCATTGAGAAAGATGACACGGTCCGATTCGAAGATCAGATCAAACTGCATCACCTCAAGGCGTTGATGCAGAAGTTTGCTCGCCACGAGCCCACAGATGACATGCCACCAGATGGCTTCGTAACACCGGGTAGGATCGTTAAGAGAGAGTCAGGGAACGTGACCGTGAAGGAATTCAAGGAGATGATACACAGTCTCTTCAAGACCACGGCGTGGGATGTGCAGATGGAGAACCTGTTCGCTAAGGTAAATGACAGGGAGGATGACTTGAAGGAAGATGATGCCATAATTGAGGATGATGATGAGTATGAAAAATAATGGTGATGGCAAAGATGACGACAAATTATGAAAGTGACAACGACAACACGAATGACCAGTGCGACAATGACTTTGATGACAATAAAAACAATAATGATGGTCACGAGGACAATGACAATGAGTGGCAATATATGTGTAGAACTGATGTCTTTAAGGAGACAACATCAATGATGACGACCGTGACGATTTCAACGACCAGCGTCATAACCGTGCGGATGACAATGACCATAATTATTGTCAATATCAATCGGTGGCGATAGCGACGTGACTGACATGGTGATACAAATAACAATATGTAACAATATAAGACGATGGTGTTTAGTATGACATTGCTGTTGACATTCGTTAGTAGTGGTGGATAAGCTGACAGTTATAACCAGAGTAAAGATGATGATATTTGTCACAAAAAAAGAAGTTACAGTAATGGATGATGATAATGGTAAAGAGAACCTAATTTATGCCTAGTAAGAATAATTAGGATTATCTCATGCACTAAACTATTCAACACACACATTCCCAATACACTAGTTGGTCAGTATTGCTAACCTATTCCCTGTTCTGTCCACTGATCTGTATTGATACGTACGTTGCTATATCCACTACTCCATTACAGGTCGACACATCAGCTGACGGGATGGTGGATTGGAATGAGTTCTGCACGTACATGTTGCTTCACTATCGTGAGAATGATAACGTCAAGAAGGATTTACCTTTGAAATACGAGCCTCACTTTAGACACATTACGCAAAATAAGGTGGGCAACTTTTCATTTAAAAATTATTAATAAACCTGTATCTCAGTCTATTATGGCACGAAACTTCGATAAATCACCATGCTGAAAAAAATCATACTGAAAATGTTGCCATCAAGTTCGAACTTTTTCAATCTGTTATTCTTAACAGATAATTATTGTCAGTCATATTTTACGCCAGTAACCAACTTAACCACTTCGCTGCCACCTGCCTTTCTCATTATTCAAATCTAATTGGAAATTACATATACTGTCAATTGTGCATGCGTGTTACATGTTATGTACCAAGCAGATGGCAGTTACTAGCAGTTTTGTAAATTAAGGTAAATTAATAAAAATTAACGTATTTTTGAAATAGCTTCATGTACGAATTCCGTTTTCAGTAAGAAGTTGCATAGTGCAAAACCAATTTCCCACACTGCATCATTTAACTTTTTGTTTGTTTCGGTGATTTTTTTTGTTTAATTCACAGCAAGAGATTATACAGTGTGTCATCGCCCTTGATAACCCGCCGAGATACGTCACTCTCAGCAAGGTAATAGAGTAGAGAAACAGATGGTGCCATACACCTTCATTCATATATCAAAGAATCTTAACAACCTGTCAAACAACAAGTGCCATTTAATTGCAGGCGTCATTTAAAATGATTAAATACATCAACACAACGGTTAAACCAAACAAAAGGTGAAATGCACGAGGAGTACAAATATGAGTGGTGTTTACTTACTACTGAAACTTCATGAACAGAATCTGCATCGCCATTTTGCTTCCTGAATTCACTCAAAAAATGTTTAACTCACTTGAACTCCCAACCTCGACCCCAGGAGGGAATGTTATGCGTCCTGGATGCCAACTTCCTCCACGTGGAGCGCAGCTATGAGCTCAAGAATGAGAACGAGGACCCTCGCGCCTCTAAGAGGCGCTGCAAGACTTGGTACACCGACATCACCACCATGTGCAATGCCAATAAGATAGTGATCAGTTCTACGGGCAGAGATCTCAGGTTCTGGGACATCTCTTGCCCCACCAGCTTCTTTGAAGACTTTCACCTTTATGGTAAGCTGGGAAAATGGCTGAATTTCATATGAGGAGCTGTTAAGCTCACAAAATGTACTTAGCATAGAAAAAAACTGAGCAAAACAAAAATTGCTTAGCACTAGTTCTGCCAGGTAGCCCGATGACATTTGGGTCATGATCCCAATTAAGGACCTTCGAAGCATGCAGCAGAACTACATCGCAATTGCTTGTGCTGAGCATAATATGGCTAACTAAAGTAATGTACATCAGGACATTTGGCTAAAGATATGGCTTCGCTTAACAGTGACCTTTTTGCACCGGCCTACACGGTAGTTAAAGTTACGTTTTGGTTTATGATGATTATGCTCGATTATCTTGTGTAGAAATCACTTTACCTTTCTTGTTTCTGACAGCCTTGCCCGATGTTCCCGAGTGCCTCGACTACTGGTATGACCCACAGGTAGGACACGTCCGTTCGTATTCCTTGTTGCACCGAAATCTGAAGTTTGTCGGTGAAAGAATTGTCAATCATGGAAGCTACCCTTTTTGGACCGATTTAAATACGGGACTGACCTTTAGAAGGCCGCCTAAGTTGGTTTTGAAAAGAACCGATGGGAAGTAAGACTTTGTAAAACCCTTCCATACTCAAATTAATTCCAAGTGCTGTCACAGCAATCATTGCTTGAACAGAAGGGCTGTGTTAAATGAAATTCAGCAGAACCTCAGAATCCAAAGCCAAGATTGAGGTAGTGTGAATACTTTCTCTGGGTTATTTTGTCAATAATGGTGGTGGGAGAGAGAATCGCCAAGCGCACATTAAACTTGTGTTCAGCTGCATATGTGTGCAGCAAATCTGCCGTGGATGGACCCAGTTTGTGTTTCGTGTAATTAGCAATGACATGGGTGTAATTATCCTCAATTTTACCGTGTGGTTACTATAGCACGACGTGGCAGATACATTGTGTGTATGACTCAACTACCATACTCTATCAATATGCGTTAAATTAACATTGCAGTTTCCAGTGTAAAAAAACCTAAAATCTCTTCCTCGCACTCCTTTGCAGAAACCGTCCAGCGAGTCTCTTCTTATCGTAGGTGATGATCAAGGCTCCATTCATCTTTATCATTTCATTAAACCCTTGGACAGGCTCTTTGAGACACCCTTCACGGACAAGGAGGGAGTCAAGAAGATATGGGCTCAGGTAACTTCGACAATAGATCGATTTGATCATCAACGATTTTCAACACATTTAAAGAAATCGCTATTTGACAAGGAAGTATGATATAAATATATCATTTAGCATTTTAATAATGGAAATTTGGGGTTTCTTACGTAATGGAAAGTGTTTACAGAAGTAAATAAAATTTCCTCGGGAATTTTTGTCTCCCTTAAGATAAGACATCAGCCTATCAGTCATACATATGTCTTTTCAAAACATCCTTCAACGCGTGTGTGCTAAGATCGTTATGCGTATAATTTTGAAATTAGCATGGGACCTCAAACAAAAATATGTATTCAATTACGGGGTTTTCAAACTTTTTTCGTTTACTGCGAGACATTATTTGAATTTCCTGTGACCGAAACCGTTGAAATAGGAAGCAAAACGTAAAATATTTGGGAAATCTGGCCGAATGTGAACCTTTAAGAAAGTTCTCCGATCATCCAATGATTGTCTCCTCTGTTCAGGATCTGCCCAATCACCAGCGTTACGTCCGACACACTAAGCTGCCTGGTATTCACACGGAGATGATTCGCAAGGTGCGTTATCTCCCGGACAATGACTACATCATCTCATCCAGTGGCAGTAAGACCTCATCACTGGTCCTGAGGGATACACAGGGCAAGAAGAAGACGTACACGTTCAGGATGAGCAAGGTAATTAAGACAAAATTGGCCTTTTGTAGAACATTCAATTTGCCTGGACAAAGACCATATCGTGTAAGCTTCCATAAGAATGGATTGCTACTTAACTACTTTTTGTCAGATTGATCTTTATTAACCGGATAAGGTTCTGCTGTGACAGGCTCTGGCAGCTCCTCCAGACAAAATCTTGTGGTATGATAACGTCTTCAATTCTCTAATCCACTTTGTTAAATAGGTTTAAATTGCGCAACTGTATTTCATCCTTTTTGTAAGAACTGATATTAAATACAGGTAAAGGAAACTACCAAATAATAGGACAGATCTCAGTATCTAAACTCCGTGGACTTTTTGTTCAAAAGGGAAGTCTTAGAGAAGTTGATTAAAGACAAATTTGGAGCTGATATAACCAAATTTCTCAGAGCATTTGATTTTTGGCTGAAGAGACAGAGCTTGATTCAGTAGCTTTTTAGAGCTCAAGAAATTAACAAAATCCCGAAAGTAAGGTCCAAAATAATGTCTTATTGAAAAGTTTCAAGACGAAGGTTGTGTATATTAAAATATGCGTATATAAATTAACAAATTCTTTATAAGTTTGGTAACAACATTAGTTGAACGGATTATCACGATATAATCATATTTATTTATTTTATTTTTTTGGCTTTCAGGGTGTTGAATGTTTTGACTTCAACAAGACTCTGAATGTCATAGCAACAGGTGGTATCGACCACAATGTCCTTCTGTGGAATCCTTTTGTTCAGGACAGACCCACTGCGTGCCTTAAAGGTCACATGATGTCCGTCGTGGGCGTGGCCATTAACGAGATTACTGCGCATGTCTACACTTACGCCAAAGATGGGGTAAGACTTAAGATCGTTTGATTTTTCTTTGAAAAAAAAATATTTGGGAAGCGGAAATCATAATCCGGAACATATGTATTGAATTGAATTCCGTTCATTATTATTATGAATATAAAGAAAGTTTTATACTGTAAGGCCATGTCACACGGGACACTTTTACGGGCAGTTTACGGGCAACAAACGTTGCCGGCGATCAGATTGCTCGCAAATTGCCCTGTGTAGCTTATCACGCAATCAACAGGCAACTCGCGGGAAACTTGCTTGGTATACTTTTATAAAGGAATTTAATACACACTTTACAAGGAAATTTTTGAATGATTAAACTATCTTGCCAAAAGACTAATCATGCGATTATAAGGGGTTTTTTTTTACTAGTTTTGATTTGGTGACTTGTTAAATCATCAGGTATTCGGTCAGGAGTGTTCTATGTCTTTACAAGCAGCTAAAAAACTTTAAGAAAAATAATTATTGATTAATTGAAAATAAATTAATTGATCAACCGATTGATTGATTGTCTGACAAACTGAATTGAGTGATTGATCTATTCACTTTCCAATTACATCTACTTTCCATTGTGTTGTTTATTAACATTCTTTTCAGACCGTGCACTTATATTAAAAGTAATAATTTTTATTAAATAGGGTACGGCCAACAAATTATTGAATTGTATACATGACGTGGAAAGCTTGATTTCCCAAACAATTAATTTATTCATCAACAGGTTATCAAAGTTTGGGACTTGAAGGAGTACTCGTGTCTCCAGACGTACCCGATGCGGTTCCCATGCCTCCAGCATCTCCGCTCGCCGGAGTATGGTTCATCCTGCCTGGTACTCCATCACCGATCGCTGGTAGCGTGCTGTGGGGATTACATAGGCACGTTGAACCTTGGCAAGACAGAGATGGCAAGTCGCCGAATGCCTGTGACGCATAAGACAAAGCTGTGCTGTGCAATATACAACTCGTTCTTCAAGCAAGTAAGGAAAAGCAGTCTGGAGTTCAATATAGGAAAAAAATCCAGAATATGATCTTGATGACTGTGTTTGAAAACGAGAAATATATGTTGCATGTGATTTTGTTTATCAGATATCAAATGAATAACAATATTGAGACGATTCTGTCTTAAGACTGCAAATTAAAATATGTGTTAATATTATTATAATGTAATCCTTTTCGAAAAAAAGTTTGCTCAAATATACAAACTTTTTATAAACATTCTGCTTATGAAACGCCAACACCCGTTCCAGACTCGAACTAGAGTCGTGCCGCACTAAACTATTCCAAAGATTTGAATTTTATACATGGAAAGTTCGGCGTTCGAAACAGTAAGGAGAGATTTCGTTGAAAGATCGACTGTTGAAGTCATTCGAAATAACCCCAAAGTCTAGTCAACAGTTTATACATAAAGTTCACCTGTCTGAAATCAAAATCTATATTTCGCTCGACCTGAGTCACTACCTATATCAATTGGTGCAGCTTAACTCACCTGGAACGCTGGTTTGAAACAGATGATATCCCACCCAGCCTGACACACTGGTTTTAGTCCCGACCCGAGTCTAAAAGTTTTCTTGTACATCATCTGGCATTTTCCTCCCACCTTTAAAAAATTGAACATTTTGGTATCATCCTCGCTCTATAGGAAGTTTCTTCAGGCTTTAAAACCACAGTGACGTACTTGCGATTGTGTTAATCCTTGTTTTGTCAACACAAGTAAGAAGAAATAGAACAAAGAAATTTTGAGAGAATTCTATCCCTTAATTTTAATATTTTTTGTTGGCAGGTAGCGACAGCTGCAGATGATTCGACCATCACTGTCTGGGATCTCAACTCGGGTGTCAAATCCTTCTCCATCTTAGAAGCACATAGTAAGGAGGATATCACTAGCATGGTGTTCAACACGACGGGACGAAAGATGATCACGGGGGCACGAAATGGCACAATCAAGGTGATTAAAGAATTGACACTTGACACTTTGGAATCATACTCTTGTGGATTTTTTGTGTAATATTTAAAATGCGGGTTTTTGGAAAACGCCGTCTACAATAGGCCTATACGTTTCTCCACTTTCTTCTTTGGCGAAAGTTATACCAAAACACTAAAAAAACAACTAACTGAAAATTTTTAAAACCGAATCGTGAGTGGTCTCATTTTCCTCCACTCCAAGAATATTGCAGTTCACCTTAATACTATTCAACTATCTTTCTTTTACCTATAGACGTCTTTCCTCCACATAATATCATTTCTAAAGCACGAAAGCGAATCTTTTATTCATATAGCGTCTTTAATGTGAACCAATTAAAGAAGCCTTTATCAGTAAATTTAATCAATACTTTAAAAAGTGTTAATAACAGGAACGGAGTGCCCATCTCTCTTTCGTTAGCGATTGGGCCAGACTCATATGCTGCTGTGGGGGGATCGCCACACCTCCTCCACAGCGAGTCTGTTACCTTCCCAGCATTGAATAATGCCGGTACCCATTTAACACTGGGTTGAGAGGAGTAATTGAGGTAAAGCGCCTTACTCAAGGGCACAACACGCATGGCCACGGCGGGGCTCGAACCCACAACCTCACGATCATGAATCCTGTGTTCACCGCTAGACCACACGTACTTTAAGTAGCATGACATTTAGAAATATAATGAGCACTTTTCGATACCTACACATACGTAAGTTAGATCTCCCTATAAGCACCATTTACCTTAAATAATATTCCTTTCATAAATCATATCTACAAATATGATTTTGTCTTTTGGCCAGGTGTGGAATTTTCAGAATGGTCACAACATCAACCAGTTTGAGCCGATTGCCGAGGCGGAGATCACCGGCCTAGTCTCGTTAGGCAAGAGGAAAGGCGTGTTGGCCGTGGGTTGGAGTCGACAGATCGTGTTCTACAATGACAAGGATGCAGAGGTTAGAGAATCACCCGTTGTTGCAATTTGCTACATTTTATTTTAATTTGATTGTAATCTTTAACGAGGGTATAGTCCATTTCAGTTTTAAAAAACTGCTTTAAAAGGAGCCCTCACATAGAATTACATGGAAATAAAATTAAACAAAGAAATTATGATTACAAAATAAAGAAACGAATCGTAAGATTGCCCGCCTATTGGACAAGGGTCGCGTGACGTTTATTGGTTATTAAAATATATGAAATTTAGTTGTTACATGCGAGAGTGTTATTTTGATTTTGCTTATGTTCCAGAATTTATTACCAATTGTGGCACGATCCGTAGTTGCAAAACACATTCCGTTGCTTGTGCAAAGTTCCATTCGCTTTTTATATCATCTTTAGCACATTTTGAAATGTCATGCATAAAACCTTTGGCATTTGGAATGACGATTGAAATCATTGAATGACATTTTCTGTTCATGTAGGCTAAAAGGCGTATCCATGTTTTGGTGTAGTTGTCATGGAGCTTTAGTTCCTTAAACATTATTGTTAAACCATGAAGTATTTTCCTCGAAAAAGGTTTGACTGCCAGCTGCTGTATGTTTGTGATTGGGTCTCGATTATTTTTGTCCGACACTAGCTGCAATCTAGGTCCGGTATCGATTCTGACTTTTCGGCATTCATATGTCACGTGACATGACCTTAAAGGTGCAATCTTCAGAGGCCTACAGAACTACACGTCCAATCGGATGAATTTTGGGGTATTTTGCGATCTGGTAGACGAAACTTTGGGCAACATTCTGGTTTAACACAGTTATTGTGGGAAGAATTTGGAGATGACCAATTTTCCACTTGAATAAACTACTTCATTTAAATACACAACAGAGACGAAACTGTGCCGCATAAACGACGGCAGCAGCTAGATTTTCCAATGACAATTGACGATACATCTTTATCATGATTTAGCAGATCCTCTCAATGAAAAAGGTAGGGCCCAAAAATGGCGTCCACGTTGTGCAGAAATTAAATTCGAAAAAAGACCACATATGATTTCTTCATTTCGCAGAGACTCGAAGGCCATTTGGTTTATGTTCTAAATATACCGATACGCATAACCTAGATCAACACATTGCGTGCGAATGCCAACAATGAGGTATACCCTTTTTACTAGTCAATGAAGTGTGGCGACTTCACTGTCAGTGTACTTTTCCACAAAAACCTGCCGTTTCAGTGAGTGGAGTTAAATCCATGTATGCATACCGATATGTACATGACATTTTCAAAAACACATTTTGTGGGAAGCTTAGCTAACAATGAGTTTTAGCCATTGTTCGTGTCAATGAAGCGAGGCGGCTTTGAGTCAGTTACAGCACGGTTTAATACAGGTACATGTACTTCGCTGTCAGTGTACTTTTGTCACAAAAACCTACAGTTCGTACCACGAGCTCCTGAGGAGGAAAAAAAGTGCATACAACATAAGCCACAATATGGGGTCAATGGAATTTTACAGCCATAACATGTAAACAGTTTGATACAGAAGGCATGTAAATTCCTGAATTATGTAAGAAAAAAAGGAGAGTCATTACACCAACACTGGATGATTTTAATTCTTGTTATGTGCAACACTTTTAATGCGTTAAGTGCAGTGATGTTTTGCAATGCACATTTGCTTTCTTTTACAGATAATCGTCACCACGGCAGTTGTTGGTATAGACCTGTATCATGTTTCCACCATTTTATTCATGTTACCTTTATCCAATAACAGTACTGAATGATATTGTTTTTGTGCAAAAAGGAACCAGACTATTTTTCCTTCCAGCCTCGCTTTGGTTACATTGATCTGAATGGGAAAAAATCAAATGGCTGCAACGTAATAATGGTCTATTCAGGCCGTTGGAAAACTACATGAATCAGCATTTTAGATCAATTTATTAACTTAGCAATCTTGTACTATAAAATTACACTAGATAGGCAAGCCAGTCCAACTACGATTTTCTGATTTGCATATTAGACATTTGATCAATACCACAATTAATGGTTGGGTACTAGAGGTACAGAGAATGCTAACAAATGAAATGACGTAAAGATGACGTCATCACGCCATTTTTGTTTGAATAATTTTATTTTCTTCATGACACTATATCGCTGCAACTGCATGTCCAATTTAGGTCAAAGTTTACATGATTTCAGTCAAGGAAATCTTATAGAAGACATTGTGGTTTCGAGACGATGACGTCATCATCGGTCACGTGACACTAGCTTAAAGGTGCAACATATGGAGAACTTTGCCACCCATATGTGCAGAAAATCAAAGCCCTGCATGCTCTGCGGTCACACACAACGGTGCAACGGTTCGAAGAAGTAAACCCGCACCCTCAAAAATCGGGGAAATGTGCCATGACCTCCATAGGAAACGCGAAATTTTCACTGAGTTGCCCGTTTTTCAATGAAAAAGTGCACATAGTTGTTCGCTTTTGATCATGAAGAAATTATATTTATGTGAAAGAGGAAAATCTGTATTTTGTGATGCGATGCAAGGAAGTAAGATAAACCAACACACTTTCCGCATATTAACGAAAATTTGCTCAGAGCGCCTAGACATGAGCCAGTCTTCCCACGTAAACATAGCTCCACTAGTGGCGAGTGAGCAAATGCTCCCTAGTTCTCCATATGTCCGATGAAATTGAAAGCAAGAACGATTGTAGCCATGCAGTGAAATTTAGATGTAAAAATAGTAGTAACGTTTATGTTCAGCATGTGTCATGTGACATGACCTTAAAGGTGCAATCTTCAAAGGCCTACAGAACTAGACACGTCCGATCGGATGTATTTTTTGGGTATTTTGCGTTCTGGTAGACGAAACCTTGGGCAACATTCTGGTTTAACACAGTTATTGTGGGAAGAATTGGGAGATGACCAATTTTCCACTTGAATAAACTACTTCATTTAGATACACAACAGAGACGAAACTGGCCGCATAAACGACGGCAGCAGCAAGATTTTCCAATGACAACATTAACAATTTTGACGATAGATCTTTATCATGATATAGGTAGGGCCTAAAAATGGCGTCCACGTTGTGCAGAAATTAAATTCGAAAAAAAACCCCACATATCATTTCTTCATTTCGCAGAGACTCGAAGGTAATTCGGCTTATGTTCTATATATACCGATTAGTATAACATAGCACAACACATTCCGTGCGAAGACCAACAGGGGGGTTACCTGTTTCTACATGTCTATGAAGTATGGCGGCCTTGAATGCGTACTTCATTGTCAGTGTCACTTTTCCACAAAAACCTGCCGTTTCAGTGAGTGGAGTTGGACCCATGTACGCAACACATTGCACAACATATTTTGTGGGAAGCTTAGCTAACAATGAGGTTTATCCATTTTCATGTCAATGAAGCGAGGCGGCTTTGAGTCAGTTACATGTGCAGGTACTTCGTTGTCGGTGTACTTTGTCACACACAAAAAAACTGTTTCAGTGTTTGGAGTTTGTGCCACAAGCTACCGATGAGGAAACAAAGTGCATACATCATAAGCCACAGTTTGGGGTCGATGGAATTTTACAGCCATAACATGTAAACAGTTTGATAGAAGGCATGTAAATTCTCGAATTATGTAAGAAAAAAAGGGAATCATTATACCAATAATGAATGATTTTAATTTGCTATGTGCCACACTTTTAATGCATTAAGTGCAGTGATGTTTGGCAATGCACATTCCTTTTACAGATCATCGTCACCACGGCAGTTGGAAAACTACATGAATCAGCATTTTACTATTTATTAACTTTGTAATCTTGTTGTACTATAAAATTACACTAGATAGACAAGCCAGTCCAAGTGCGATTTTCTGATTTGCATATTAGACATTCGATCATTACCGCAATTGGTAGTTGGGTACTAGAGGTATAGTGAATGCTAACAAATGAAATGACGTCAAGATGACGTCATAACGCCATTTATTATTAATTTTTGAATGCATATTATTTTCTTCATGACACTAAAGTGCAACTGCATGTCCAATTTAGGTCAAAGTGTACATGCTGTCAGTCAAGGAAATGTTATAGAAGATTTTTGGTTTCGAGACGATGACGTCATCATCGGTCACGTGACACCGGCTTATAGGTGCAATCTTTAGAGGCCATTATCTGTAGACTACAAATCCGATGAAATTGAAAGCAGGTACGATAGCCAGTGATAGGTAAAAATAGTAGTAACTCGACGGCCATTCGGTGTATGTTCTATATACACCGATAATATAACCTAGATCAACACATTGCGTGCGAAGACCAACAATGAGCTACGTTTACCTGTTCCTACATGTCAATGAAGAATGGCGGCTTTGAATCCGTACTTCATTGTCACGTGTCACTTTTCCACAAAAACCTGCCGTTTCAGTGAGTGGAGTTGGACCCAAGTATGCATACCGATATGTACATGACATTTTCAAAAACACAATTGCACAACACATTGCGCGCGAAGGCCAACAATGAGGTTTACCTTTTTACATGTGAATGAAATGAGGCGGCTTTGAATCCGTACTTTAATGTCAGTGTACTTTTCCACAAAAACCTGCCGTTCCAGTTTCTGGAATTTGAGGGGTTTTGTGCGATCTCGGTTAAGAATCCAAGATTTCTGAGTTACTTAGCACTTAAATTAGTAATAGAGATAACAGGTATTATTGTAAAACTCTTTGACGTCATCAAATTGACATGTTTGTGATACAAACGCAAAGCTGTACTCTAAATTCTTACTTTTTATACAGGAATATAGATTGACCAGAAAAAAAACATTTGAAAGAATTCTTCGTTTTTATCGAAGAAAAACACCTCCGTTCGGGTTTTCTTTCCTGTGTGACCACAAATTTTTAATCACGGAAACTGATCATCGCAAAGCTGAGAACGATAATTACAGGGGAACATATCATGTGACTCTAGAATGTATGTTGAATATGCGGATGGATGCATGTATTTTGCTATACTGTTTTTCTGCAAGTAATCACAGTGGCACCAAAGCCCCATCGGTATTTTTCATTTTCACAAAGTAACATTCATCTTTATTTCACAGTTAAAAGGTTTTTAATTAAAGTTTTCTGCAATTCTACAAGAATACGGATTAATTACATGCCTGTCAAACATCACGTTTTTGTTCAAATAGTTTTCCGTAAAAGTGTTCGCGCCCAATGTCCGATGTGCGCGCGAACACTTGAGTGTTACTTCGTGAAAGTAAAATTTGCAATTTAGCGGTTTTCTCGAAGTAGCACTTATCTGTACTTGGGTGTTACTTCGTGGTGTCGGTGACGATTTATGTCACCACACTTACAGTAATAATTTTTCAAGAAAAAGTCGAATACAATCTTCTGCCCTGTATGCAGCGGAGAACAGAGATGAAAGTTGGCATCGCGCGACCAAAACATCCCATTTTATACGGTCTATGAAAAATGAATAACTTGAATTTCTATCTCCCTCACTTGGTTCTTTTGCAGACATTATTGGTGAAAGCAGACACCAGTTGGAAGGGTGGCCAGGTCCATCAAGATGACATCTTGGCCGTCGATTACTGCCCTCCCAACCTGCTAGCTACGGCCTGCTTCGATGGGGAAATCATCGTGTGGAGCGTGGAGACAGAGACGATATTCATCCGGCTAAGGAAAGGCCAATCTTGCCAGGTGTACGTTTGATCTATTGGTATTTAAATAAAATGATATTCAATATACTAGGCCTAGATCTAATCATGATATTATGTACCATAATTTAATATATTTGAATTATAAATATGACATCGAAGACACTAAATACACTCTGAGTGATATGTAAACAGTTATTGGGATGTCAATAACATAACTTTAAATTTATTGTGAAAGTGATGAATGAAATAAACATTGAAACGAAAACAATTACTTAGAAGTGAACACAAAGGTAATACAGAAAAGTGCATAGGCCTTAGCTTATTTATGTCAAACAAATTGTCTTACAAAGTAACTTGTAGGCCTACATATGTACATGTACTGACATTTCCTTTTTTCAATTCTGTTGAACTGACAATGCAAATTGCACTTGATTGTAAAGTCTAGTTTCAATTTGGAATCTGTCTTTATTTATCCCTGAACCTTTGGACCCCCATTGACAAGACTGACAGATAATCAATTGTTCTGGCATTGAAAGTTTAATATGTAATTAAATGTATGACAAGTTGCTGACATTTGTTTCGTTTGGCAATTATTGGGGTCATTTCAAGCCCGTGGTTTTATAGATTAGGGAGTCAGGTGGGTGAACATTACTTTCCTTGCCTTCCACCGCTGTGACCCGGGTTCGATTCCCGCATGGCCAATATGTGGATCGGGTTTTCAGTCCCTACCTGATTCTGTGGGTTTTCCTTAGAATATGATTCTGGAGTTTTCCTCCCATCTCTAAAACTGTGATTTCTTCTCATTGTCTTCTCTCTACAGGTTTCTTCAGGCTTGCATGCTACATGCCTAGGGTGCTTTTGAGGAGTCCTTGGTTTCATTACCAGAAATAATGATTAATTATAATAATTAAGATGATCCCCCAAAAAGACATAAATTAAACTTGTATTTTATCAAATTTGAAAACTAAACTAAATCAGAAATTCGAAACCCACTTTCCTTTGTCTCAATCTGCAGGAGCAAGCGGCTAAAGCAGGCTCTCTCCTCACTGGAGCAAACAAAGGACAAACCATCATCTGGAAAAGGGACCAATTCATCCCGCAGCCACTTTTCCTCAGGGCATTCCAGTCACTCGTCTAGAAACTCCCGACCAAATACCAGACATCAAGCAAACCACAAGCAACCAGCAGGGTATATATATATTTTTATATATTTTTGGTATATCGTTTTATATTTCCTGTTATATATATTTTTATATTTCCTCTCCCGTTTATATTCCTGTCAAAATATCAATGAGTGCCTGTTTTATCATTTTACTAAAGTTTTTGTATTTGTGTTTTTAAGCAAGATTACTCTTGTTTATTATAATTCTCTTGAAATTAGAACCAAAATGAGGTGCCTGTATCCTGAACAAATATGAATTTCTGTTGGGTCACTTGACATAAATGTCTAAAGTTCACAGTGTCAAGAAAAAGAAACAAGATTTTATTTAGACTTTCTAGTTAGGTAAACTGTAGTTAAGAAAAATGCACACTGTCTAGTAGCTCTACAGTTATTATAGTGAAAAACTATGAAAACTTGTACACACACAAATTACCCCCAAAAGACACGTATATGAACCTTACTGCATACATCCAAGTCTATCTGGTCACACTAAAATGCACAAAGGAAACGGGCTTTTCTGGACATGGTTGGCATAATTCTTAAGACTATGCACAAAATTCAGTCATCAGTACTTTTCCCATATTTTGTTAGGTTTTACTATTTTTTACTTGTGCTGAATGGGCATTATGCAGGATGCATCTTCATGGTGCAAACCATGAAGAACATCAGATATTACTAATATTCCAAGAATACAAAGATCGGGAAACAGCAGCTAACCAATTTCATTTGGTTCTCTGGTCCTGCAGTTTCACGCAGGCTCCTGTAGACAAGATCCTCTTCCTGAAGAGTCGCATCATCAACAAGGGTCTGACAGAGGGCGCCGTTCTCATCTCCAGTGAGGCGGGGTTTCTTCACTTCTGGTCAATTTATGGATTCTCAAACAACCACAAAGGTACAGTGTGTAAGATCTTCACTGTAATTTCAAAATTCACAAATTCACCAGTTTTTATTTTATTTAGAGCTTTTCATGCATCAGAGCTGATTTTCCTTATAGTCCTTTTATGTTTTCTGGATTGACAGGTTTCTTTTATGCCAGTAACTCTGTTACTAAGGAGGAGTCGGTTCTCGCTATGACAACCAATCATGATGATTCGATGCTGATAACGGGAGATACCATGGGCCATGTGTATGTATGGGATGTCGGCAAGTACTGTCTGGATCCAACAGGAAAGGTTAGTTTTACTTCTCTTTAAATGAAGAAAGAACATCGACCAAAGCTGGATTTGAACTTGAGGCGTCTGGATTAACAAGTGACCGGTTGAAATCCAGACCCTGCAGATACCCCATGGCTCACTTATTTTGTACAAATTCTGAAGCAAAGGTAAGCATATACATGAAAAAGGGTACCTGTTCATAAGGACAGATTCAGCTCAAAACATTTCACACAAAAAAGGATTAAAATTTAACTTTTTTATACATTTCTTGCATACAGTTTGTTTTGTTTTTGGCTTGAACTGAGTTCATAGAAGTTGGGGTCCCAGCCACTCTGCAAAGCAGGGAAAACCTTGAAAATGTGTTTCCATTTTTTCCGGTCAGGGAAAATGACAATTGGCTGTGCTAAATCATCTCTGGACTTCCCAGCATCCTCATTATGGTGAAAATATTTTTCATGGAATTTTACAAATTTCTCAGGGAATTACCAGGGAAAACTCCGGGAATTTAGTTTTCATAATGTGCTGGGAACCCAAGGAAGTTACAGCAAATTTCATTTTGAAATCTTGTTTAGCAAATTTAAATAAGAAAAAGGGTAGAATGAAGCCCCACTTTTTTTGTAATATCATCATTCCAGGAAGAAACACGCCGGCCTCCCCTTATCCACACATGGCGTGCCCATGACTTAGCAGTAGTCAGTGTGGAGTTTATACGGGAGGCATACAGCTACTTTGTGCTGACCGCTTCTACAGACTGGACGGCAAGGCTGTGGACAATGGAGGGTCACTACGTCGGGACCTTCGGACAGTCCAAGAAATGGAATCTACGGAATCCAGACACTTATGAACATCCGAGGTAAAAGACGCGGCTAAGAACTTGAAAGCCAAAAGTGTCTTCAATTCCCTGTTTGTGACAAAATATGAAATCCATCATTCACACTGTAAAATGATATCGTTCGTACTGTTATAGGAAAAAAGTCTTCCTCAAAACCGTTACATGTATATGAGAAAATCATAAGAGCAAATTTCTCAAGGGTGTTTCTGAATCCTTATTTCCATCAGTACAATCCAATAGATCTGAATTCCGACTGGACAAAAATGGTGCCTTATATAATTTTTTTATTTTAAAAAAATACATTATCCTGAAAGAAATATATATTCAACGGTTTTTTTTACTGGTAATGATTTATTTAACAACAAATTTCTTAATGGAAAAAGACAGTAGACCTGCACTCTATTTGCCCCTAAATAAAACATTTTTTCTTAGATTTTTATCAATAATACGATACTCGATAATTAATTATAATAATTATAAATTTTAAAAAAAAATTGTGTTATTTCACAACGTAAGGCATTGCTAGACTCAAATTAAATTCATTTGGAAAACTCAATCTTCATTGTATAAAGTCGATTTTTGTATAGAGCAACTGCCTAAACAAAAGTGATTACTAATTTGTTCTTTTTAACGCTTGGAAAACTTGCATCTAAATCAAGCACAGGTTTCCATGTGTGATGGAAATATCATATTTTCTCTCACTCATCAGGACACCATGGAGTCACCTGGAGGAGAGACGCACACTCCTAGATGAGATTTTATCGCAAGACCAAGGTAGGATCAGGCAGTATCCTTGGCCCCATGAGATTAATCAGCACGATAAAATCAATACCCCACAAAAAGGATTGGCATTAAAAAAAAAACATGACATTAAGACAGGCGCGGTTCTACGGGGGGGCTAGGGGTGGCTGTAGCCCCCAAAAAATTTTGTGTAGCCCCCCCAAAATAAATTCCGTAAAAAAAATTGCATTAGCAAAAAGGATTGTGATGTACATGCGAACGGTCTCCCCCTAAAGAAAAATAGTCGTGACAAGGGTGCATTAGTTAATATAGTGTGAATGATTTTAGGATTTTATTTGCGCTCCCCATTGAAAATATGGCATGAGCCTGCATTAAGATTAGCTACATATGCCTCATGAAAAAATGTAAAAGATAAAAACACTTTAAAAAGTGGCAACTTAAAAGAACAAATGTTGCTACAAATTGGTTTTTAAAGAGCTTTCATTTATTCTTGTGGGAAAAAGACATTTTAATTGCCAATTTTGTAGACAAAACCCAATAGTAAGTTTGTTTTCTGAAAGATACTTTGCTGAAGATGATACAGATCATTTTCTGTACTTCATGTCATGATTGGGATTAATGATTTTTTGAGTGGTATTTTATGTACTTGTTCAGTTTTTGTTATGTTTATCCCCCAGGCTGTTGCCCGTAGCATGCTGTCTTTGTGTTATTGTGTCCTGTCTTCCATAACATATGTCACATAAATTGCAATGTTATTTTTTTCATTCATTTGTTTTAATGCAGATGACACGCCTGATGATGATGTATTTGTCGATAGCTTGGATAAAGCGGCAGAACTCAACAACAATAATATCATCAGCCCAACTCTGCAATCAACGAAAGAAGGAGCAGACAAAAATGTAAACACTGAGTCAGAGATCATGCCTAGCATTGCAACTTCTCTTCCTTCAGATACGGACACTTTCAGTGAAGAGGCAGACAAGGATAACAAAGCTCAGCTGGTAACCCTGCCTTCCATACACACACCGACAGCTTCCAGGGAACCAGCCAGCAAAGGTCGGCCTAAGGTCTCCATTAAATCTCCTCCACCCCTGACGAATGACGATAGTCCGCATATGTCCAAGTCCAGACGAGAGTCAGAGTACCCGTTGCTTGCTTCGGACAAGTTTCGTCTCAGATCAAGCAATGCCGGAGAATCTGAATATGGATTTATGCTTGATGCTCAGACAAGGAGTCTGCGATCTGTTACCACGTGGGAGGATGACCTTGGCCGGAGGTCAAGCAGGTCAATGACCTTGTCGAGTTTTGGATCGTACAGCACCGGCAGGAAACAGTCCAAGTCAGCACCTGTGAGTTCAATGAAATTTGTGGAAAATCGTAATAAATGCTTGACTTATGAGAAATGTTCACCGTAAGTTTTCGGGGTGTGTGGCCCAGTGGTTAGGGTTTCTGACTCATGATCATCAGGTCAGGGGTTCGAATCCAGCTGCTTGGTCATATGCTGTGTCCTTGGGCAAGCCACTTAACCCAACTCTCCACCCAGGAGTATACATGGGTATTGGCATTGGCTGGGGAGTAACCTGCGATGGATTGGCATCGCATCCAGAGGGAATAGAAATATTCCGTCGATCGCTTCATGTCAAGAAAAACAGGAGATAAATGATGGCCTGATGGGCCATGTTGGCTCGTGACAGACTTTACTTTTACAAGTGTTGCTTTATCATTAAACTCCCCTTTTCAAAAAGGACAAGGCATTATCAACAGTGGTTTACCAAATACAGTGAAAGTTGGTTGTAAATAATTGCAGTTGCAGTCAAGCCTACTATCACTCAATCACAAGTCCAGTCACAAGAAACAACAGGCAACAAACAATGACAGAGGAATGTATTAAATGTCAGTTTGTATTTGAACAGTCTGACTTTTGACTGCAACACTTGTTATGACTTGTGGGGACTTGGGTACAACTCTGAAAAAAAATAGAGCAAATGATTTTTGAGAATATAAGGAAGCACTTGGAGTAGGCTACGTGTGATTTATGAAGAGAGAACCACAAAGAGGTTAGGTGGGTTTTTTTTTTCAAAATTATGGTATCCCGAAGTTTGCATATTCATATCTTTCAGTTTTTTTATTCAAACAAACATTTGTTTTAAAACTATACTTCCTCAATTCCCCATTTTGGTTCATCTTGAGATTTTGAAACAGTAGTCGGGTAAAGCCTTCAACAGCAAGACTATAGTTTTTCGTCAGGGCCTTGGTATATACTCTCACTTTTTCTTTAGGAAAGCAACAAGGGGACATGAGTATCTTAATTTCCAACGAAGACGTCTTGTGTCTGTACGGTCTTGATTTCAGAGCTTACTTGGTCGTCAGGTGGATGAGGACTTTGCCAGGATCTCTCACAGCAGACAGGAGCGTCGGCAGCGATGCGGAGGGGTAGACGTGAAGGCTACCCAGAGATTTGGCAAACTATGCTCCCCGTTCCAAGCACTTACAACCCTGGTATGTCTAGAAAAACAGGGAGTTAGACTTTTACCGGAAGTTAGACTGAAATTGCAGTGTCAAGGCATCAAAAAAGCAAATGCCTTTCATAACAGTGGGATTTCGTGATATTTCTGCGTTCAAAACGTGAAGGAAAAAAAATTGTTATATCTGTCAAAAAAATGGTAAATGAACACTTATAAAAAAGATGTAAGCTCTATGAACTCAAGTTTAAAAGCAAAAAAACTGAGGATCAGTCCAAATTTTTTCGTCAAGATATATCATAATTTAGATCTGTGAAAGAAATTACCTTCATAAAAAGAGTATAAGTTAAGGAATAAGTACTTTTATATCTTCTTCTGAAAAATACAATTTTGCAAATATTTGCAAATAAAAACTTACAATTCTATTTTTTTCCAATGCAGAAGACCGATGAAGTTCTTTTCCCCTCCAGCCTGCCAATGACCCCAGGCATGTTGACCCGAGGCTTGACGTGCACTAATGAAGCCGAACTACGTAATATGACACTCAGCCCCACCCCAGGGGAATACTGTCGTTCCGGGTTTGTAGACCAAGGCACGTCAACGTCACCCTTGCCTGCAATCAGGCGGATGTCAAGGACGAGCTGGAACAGGTGATATCAGCCCCACCCCAGGGGATCTGCCCCACCCAGGGGATGAGTTCTACAAGGGAATGCTGGCCCTAAAGGACAGGCCAAAAGAGATGACATCAGCCCCACCCCATGGGGATGAGGCCAACCACCAGAGGATAAGCCCCCTCTAAAATATTTGTATAAAGGGAACTGTAATTACTAGAAATTTGTATAGATGTATAGAGTAGCCATATGACAATCAGTCCCACCCTAGGGAAAACAGTCCCTACCATGGTAGAGCAAATCTAACACACCCCCTTCCCCGGGAAAAAAGTACATCTCTTCGAATTCTGCGCAAGACAATCACAATTTTTGGCCAAACGTGAGTGCAATGTCTTCTGCTTTTCTGTAGTATTTTCTAAAGTATTCATGTACATATATTTAAACTTTTAACAACTCCTTTTCCTATGTTTGAATTTTTTCGTATTCAAGGTTCGTTAAAGTTAGTGGAACAGCAAAAATAGAAGTATTTCTCAAAATTCACATTGATGTAGACAAATGTCAATTGCCAAATTTGTTCACATAACCGAATGTTGTCTTTGAAGTCAATTGTGTGTGTTGGACAGAAACTGCCAGAGGTTATGCTGGTTTGATTTTGAATTTGTAAAATGATTGAAAAACCTGCTGATTTGATTTTTATTACTGAGGAAAATCAAGATACCTGGATAGTCGGTTAAAAATATCTTTAACATATTGCATATTCTGATATTAAACCCAAAATATTGTTTTTGCAAGTCACAATTTCAGAGATCTTTCTCAGGGTAAGATTTATATGAAAATAGAACAAAGAAATATATTTCCGGTTTTCACAGTTTGGTTTTAATAAATCAATTCTTTTATTGTACAACTGAAGGGATCTGTACAGCAAGTGTATGTTACTTTAACTGTTCTTTTTGCAGAATGTGTATAAATCAAGTTTAAATTGCTGAGGTTTCAGAAAAAGTATGTGAAAGGTTACCCACAAATTTAAGCCAAAGCAAAACCAGTCATGGTTGAACATAGAGCTTGAACTAGGGTAATCATCACCTGGACAGAACTACCAAAAACAAAACAAAAACTAACAGCAACTTATTTTGAATCAGAGGGGAAAGTTCAGGTATTATATCTGTTTGGAAAAATGGGCCTATATTTGTCTATGCTAAAGTTGGACGGAGTTTAACAAAAACAAAATGAATTATGTCTCGCACAAAAAAGCTATATACATATAAACACATCCATGAAATTCAACAACAAAAAAGGAAAAGTACATTAACATTTTGGAATGTCTTCAATAATGGGTTTTGAGAAAAGTACCATCGTAAGTGATAAGATCTTTCAGGAAATGTTGGACAAAAGTGGAGCTCACTTTAATAAGTGCTCAAGTTACTCTGGTGCTAGTGAATGGATCATTCACCCCATTTCTGCCAAACAAAGCAAGGTGTTCTTCATTTCAAAATGGAAATGATATCTAAAATTACCAACAATTCTTCAAAAACTGAAACACATGAAATCAGAGACTTTGCACTGTTGAGAATACAGCTTGGGAGATGTAATAGCAAAGAGAAGTGGTTATGAGAAGAACTAGAGGTGTTAACTTGGATGTTTTGTCTAGCATGCTCTGACCTTCATTGGAACAAGACCATAATGGTCCTATGTAAATACATAATTATACAGTTGACTCTCGTTAGTACAAACTCTATTAATACAAATTTTGGTTATAACAAACATAAAGCCTTGGTTCCGACTGTGCATTTATGTACACAATGAATGGGACTGATGTTCCTCTTAATACAAAATTCTGATATAACCAACAATTTGGCTAGGTCCGAACGAGTTTGTATTAACGAGACTCGACTGTACCTTGTTATAATACCTTGATTTTGAACACAATCACTTCTGTTGAAAACTTAGCCTGTCAAAATGTCTTGGCTATAACCAGAAATAACATATGTCTCATTAAGTTATTCGGCTTCAGCCAATTCCATAAGCACATTGGTCATTGGAAAGTGCACCTAGTAATTTGGACAAGGTGTTGTATGAAATTTTGCCTCCTATTAAGTTAGGTCTCTTTTACCTAATACAGACAACAACCCTCGCACATGATTGGTCACTGCTTTAATTGTATCCACTGGGGCAAAAAACAGTCAGTTTTTCATAAAGTCTACATTTCCTATTACACTAGCATTAGTCTAACTATTAACAGGAAAATGAAATGCATGGTAGAAGCATTTCATCTTGATTCTCATTGGGGTTTGAATCCGTACACTTGTCTTGAAAGTCACATCTATCTCAACCCTCATCCCAAGAGACAAGAATAATCATCAGGAGCACTGTAAGGCAAAAACTCATCTTGTTTCCGCGACAACCAGGTCTAGAAGTCATTGTCACTATCCTCAGCTTCCTCTCTCCGTCGTCCTTTCCTCGTTGACGGACCCTCGACCTCCAACTCATCGCTTTCGCCATCATCGTCATCAAGGAGATCGTCGTCATCCACACTGATGCTGTCATCATTGATGGAGGAACCACTACCATCCTGGGTCAAAGGTCACATTATAAACAAACAAGATGAGCACACAAAAATTCAAATTCCACAAAACAAGTTCTTTCCCTTTTTTCTCTCGTGTGGAAATTCAATAACATAGGAAAAACTTTTGTTTCTCTGTGTATATAATAAAGACCACATAATTTAAAATTGTTCCTTTGTCTCCAAACCACTATCACCAGAACTTTTCCAGTTAGTTGCTTCAAACAGGAAACTGCTTTTCAAAAAATCTTGTCCGGCTTTTTCCATACAAAAAAGCAAAACAAACAAGTTAGTATTTTGTTTGGAGATGGCTGCCTTGCCAACTGTACTATTTTTAGTCAGTTTGGTTGGCCTATAAGAGGGCTATTTTAAATCTCGTCCCCTGGCCTCTACCAATCTGGGGTGCGGGGGATGCGCATGGATGTCTGTGCATCCCCCCCCCCCCCCAAATAAAAAAAGCAGAACAGATCCACATTTTTTCAAGTATCCTTTCACAACTTCCCAAAACTTACATCATCACTGATTTCTGCTCCCATATTTCCAAAGACTTTGGGGTTGTTGTTTCGAATCCCTCCTGTATCAAAAAATGAAACAATAAATATAAAACAATAGTCATATATACAAATGCCAGTTTGACAAATAGATTACAAAATGTATGTATGCCTAAATTGAAGAACCATGTTGGCCAGGGTGCTACCACCTCCCTTACATCTTCTAAAAGGCCAATCCGTTAAGCCCTGGCCAATGATGTTTGTCCAGTAGCAGTAGTGACTGCGCAGCCTAAAGTCCAGCATGCTTGCCCTTCAAGATGCACACGACTGTAACATGCAGGCACTGCAGAGATGCATGTGATGTTGCCCATGTGCGAACTTGGACATATTTCCTTGGCTATCAGTCATCAAGGCAAGACCTCAGTTTAATGCTCAAGGGCAAATGATTGACTGATAGCTTGAGGCAAATGATTCAAATCCCCAACAGCAGAAGGATTTTACACAGCTTACATAACACAGCACTGAAATTGATTAAGGCAGGGAACTTGGTCACAGTGTCCAAAAATGTTGTGATCAATTGACCATTGTGCAATGAGGCATGAGTGAAATTACATAAAACTCATAGGGGTTTAGGCCAGGGATTAGGAGTATCTGCTCAACTGAAAAATTTGAAAAATTTACTCTGCGGTCTTGTTGTTATTTCAATAATATTTAAATGGATACTTTGTTTGGGACATACTGTAGTGTAGTGTGTACCTGGTTTGGGTCGTTCCCGCCTTGGGGGCGGGGCCTGTTGTTGCACCTCCTCACTCTCGCTATCGCTTCCGTCCTCATCATCATCATCGTCATCATCATCATCACCGTCGTCATCGACAACATCCAATCCTGGTATGTCGTCTCCTCCTAAGATGTCGTCTGAGATGCGGATGCGGGCGTCTTCCTCCTTTAGTCTGTTCTGCATCCGTTTCAAGGTGCTCTCTGTCTCCTGGTTAAGGGAAAAGAGAAATATTGCTTGCTTCTTCAGACACGTAATTGGAAAAAAACGAGGAAATTCCAAACCACATAAGACTCTGTACAGTGTAATCCGATTTGTAAGGCATTCTTGATACAAAACGGGAAGGAAATCAGCAGATCCAAGAAAAAGTTTCATGCCTGTTCTTTTATGACAAATATATAACCCTGAGCTCATCCAGTGTAAAATATGGTCGAACATCAGACTTTTTTCTGGCAATTTACTGTATTTCACTGTCTAACAGCTATAAGGTCCCTACTGAAAACTTCAGACAAAAGGTCCATATTTACACATACCGGTAAGTTGGTTGAATTTGGTCAAAATTAGCATCAAAATATAGCAAAACCTATGGAGTACCGAAGTGCGACGTCATTTAGAACCAGAAAGTGAAGTGCAAACGAATGGAGTTCGCGCGCCTGTTGGTTCACGGGCTGAATCGCGCGCTTAATGTCTTTTACACTCATTTTGTGAGCGTGACATATTCACTTCGGTACTCCTTTGGTAAAATGCTTCGGAAAGTTATTTTACAAAATGCGTTTGTCTGAAAAATGTAAATTTGTTCTGACTAAAGATTTAATAGAGCGCTTGCCTGGGACTTCTTGACTCCTATTAAGACCTTCTCAACTGCCAATTTGTACAGAGAAAGTTGCTGGTGCTTTGTCAAACTGTTAGAGGGGAAAATGAATTTGAGACGTTTTCTGATCATATATTTGGGATTTTGCCAAAAATAATGTTACCTTACCTCAAATCTGTCTTGCTCTGCCCTGGCAAACTCCTCCAGTTGGTGCTCCAGGTAGGTCAGATTGCGGAACCTCTCCAGATACGTCTCGTATTGTTTCTCCAGATCCACCTCTAGTTTCTCATATTCATCCATGAAGGCTGGCCTGAGAGAGACAAACAGGTCCGAAAACTGATGTAGTTTTGAGTTGATACTAGAGTTTTGGCAGGTTTGAAACTCACACCGATATCACATATCCCTATGGATTATTATGTATGACGTCATCACTTCAAGTGTTCTTCTCATACGTGATACGAGAAAGTGACACAGGAACTACGTGTGGGAGTCGATTGATACAGGGTCAGTATACATATGAATTTCCATCTTTTCATTCAAGTTTTCTTCCAATTTAATTATATTAACCTCTCATTCTTAAGTTTATGATGAACCAGACATGTTGGATTGCAACTGCAAGCTCTTAAGAGTGAATTTTTCATGGCGTATAGTGAATTTTGAGCTTTGACAGAAGCTTTTTGATGTGCCCGCCATTTGACTCACAAATTGAGTGGCGTGTTTTTCTTTAATGGGTGGCAAAAAGATACAATTGCAACTAACGTAAAGTTGGCTACCAGTTCTGCCGTAAAAATAAAATAAAATATGGTTTTCGCCATCAGATTAATTTCTCATTAACGGTGTTGGACTTCATGGTGTCGCAATTTTTTTGCAGTCACTAGTTGGGTCCAAGGGCCAGGGATACAGTAGTGCAGTACCTTGGCACCATGGTTCTACAACCAAAGTTTAAATGGAATGTTTAAACTGAACGTTTGTATATATAGCATTATTTGTGTAAATACTGGTAAACTAGACCTACTTGTGTTAGTGTCAGTTGTCGGTTTCACATCTGCACTTTTTCTTGTAGATTTTACTTTGCATAACTTTATTTAATAGTGAAATTGGTAATGTGTGCAGTGCTCCATGGAAAAAGAAGCCTGTTCGGGAATATGCTAGGTATTAAGAAACGTAATCAATTAATAAATGCCAGCCATCCATCTATGGAAAGATAGAGTCTGGAATCTTGTTTATGCCATGTTTACACAATAGACACCAATCCGCTTATAACCCTTTGTTGAACTCTGGATGCTGGCAGGCTGCATCCATTAAGTTGTTCGCTTGAGTGACTTTGAAGTGCCGACGAAACACTGGAGTAAGGCCCTTGTACCAGGGCAAAAATATGTTCAAAGGGACCGGCACCCAGCCAGTGATGGAGGCAAGGCCCTAATAACTATGCACCATTGTCTTCAAGTTCAATAATTAGTCACGCTATGACGTATTAAATGTAAGGCCAGATAAAGACACAATATGAAACAGTCTCTCCAGAAAGAACACATGTTCCATGATGAAACAGCATACACCGAATATTCAAACATTTGATCATCAACCAAATATCTGAATAGAATTTGTTCGATACAAAATGTGAGAAAATGATGAAAGTGCTACACTTTTATTAAAAGTCATTATCGCATATGATTTGAGAGCTTCCATGAGCAAAATTAGCTCAATTTTTTTGTTAAAAAGCGATAAAATATCAGTCTACGCCACTGTTCTTCATACTGTCTTCATAAGATCTGTCAAGTTTTCGACAATCGCAGGTGCATGCACATCCTGATTGAAAGCCAGGTTATGCTGGCGCATTTTTAACTTGATCAGTGCATTTTAAAATCAACTATTCAATATGTGAAATCTGGATAAGTCCAAACCTGTTAACTCAAAAACCCTTCTAACGTAAAAACTTATTCCCATCAATTGTTGTTGAAAAGAAAACCCACTGGGATAACTCAAAACTCTGCTTCACTCCAATTTGAGCCATTCCCGTGAGGTTTGACTTAATAACGAGATTTCACTGTATTCAATCAAATCCAAGTTGGAATAATCGAATACTTATTTATTTGAAAATGCACAGCCCGAAGACCATGTCGGAACACTCGTCTAGAGCCACTGTCTTGGTCTCGGCAACTACAACTGCATTGAAAGATAGATGTTACTAAGCTTTGAAATCCTATGGCAGATGCAACCACAGTGTAGCTTGGGGTAATATCTGAAGCATCTTGGGTACTAGGATGCTCTCTTTCCATACCTGACAGACTGCAGCGTCTGCAATCGCTTGTGGTTCCTCTCAAGCTCCGACTTCTTCTTGTCAATCTTGGCCTCTAGGTTGGCCTCATCCGACGCTACGTTCTCCAGCATCTGCTGGGTCTTCTTGATTTGTTGCTGCACACACAAAAAATGAAAAGAGAAACCTTTGCAGTTTAAGAATTTTCAATAACAATACAAGGCAAGCCTAGTATTATTATTATTCTGTTTATTTCTGGTAATGAAACCAAGGATTTCTCAAAAGCACCCGAGGCACTGTAGCTTGCAGGCCTGAAGAGTGAAGACACTTGTCAGGAGAACACGAGAAGAAAATACAGTTTTACAGGTGGGAGGAAAACCCCAGAAGCATAGTCTGGGGAAAACCCACGGAATCAGGTAGGGACTAAAAACCCAATCCACATGTGGTCCGGGCAAGAATCGAATCCGGGCCGTAGAAGTGGAAGGCGAGGAAAGCAACCACTGCTGGTCCAAGAAAACACACATTCTATCCAATCGATTCAGAGTGGCTATTCACTGGAAGTCTTTTCATGTATGTGGCCTACATGTACACAATGAGCCAGATTTATCCCATACATTGGCATTGTGGTGTAATCCTATTTCAAAATTTTGGGCCAAGGCAAGACTTAAGTAAGTCCAATTCACAAGCGGTAGTCAGCCAGTGAATGAGTGAGTTGGTGAGTCAGTCAGGAATATAGGCTAGCCCCTCTGCGACCAGCAAAAATGTCTCTGAGATTCAACTTCACGCCTGCAATACTTTAAGGTTTCTTATTTGGCTGACCTTTAATATTGAAAAGAATATGCACAAAATCAGTTGAGGGGTCAACTCAGTATTCACACTGTGGATTCATCAACTCAGTTGATGATTTCTGAGTACTTTGGAATAAACACGGCAGATACGAAAACACTGGTACAGATGGGCGATGTACCTTAATCCAAATTCTGCAATTTTTTATGAAATCGAAATGATGTTAACTCTTTTGCAAAAATGTTGCACATAAAAAACATCTGACACATAACATGACATGGTGCTGTCCAATTTTGTTTTTAATGTTATGTGACGTACTTCAAGAACAACACCTCTTTCTCTTCCTTTTTTATCTTGGTCCCTGCTTCGATTTTGCATGTACCGGTAGTCAATGAATTGTTCATCCTGTGCGGTAAATTGCCAAATCTTGATGTACGCACAGAGTAGTCCTATAGTGAATAGTCCTATAGTGAATAGTCTTATAGTGAATAGCAGTGTTGTAGGTCTCGAGACCGGTCTCGGTCTCGGTCTCGAGACCACTTTTTGCTGGTCTCGGTCTCGGGAGCTGTGGTCTCGGTCTCGGTCTCGGTCTCGGTCCCCTTTGGTCTCGATATTTTGGCTGGTCTCGAGTTGAGACCAGCCAAAAAGTGAGGGGGGGGGGGCGGATTCCAGTTTAGGATTAAGTAAAGAATCAGTTGAGGGCAAATGTGACTGCAGTGTGATGCTGATAGACATGTCTCTCTTCACTTTCTAGTGAGTGAGGCATAGTCCAACAACCATTGCTCCTCTTCTTATTTCTTGTTTTTATTGTGGGATGGTTTGTTGAAACAAGCACTTTATAGCCATCCTCATTGATTCCAAATACAACTGAGATTAAAATCTTATGAATCAAGATTGAAACATTATTTTTACAATGTACTGTCAGATTTTTTGTTTTGAATATGGGAAACAATTCAACTCTTTTTCCCCAGAAATACTGGTGATTTTTTTTCTATTTTTCTTTTCAATTTTTACTTTATTTGTGGAGGCGGGAAAACTTTTTTTTTTCTTATATATTTATTAATGGATATTCATCAATTCGTAGACTGTTAAATTGCTATTAGTGGTGGACAGCTGAATTTTGTGATCTCTTTATTAAAATAGACACGACTTGGGAATAGAGAATGCAAATTACGTGAAATTTTCAGAGTTACTACTCAATAACATGTTCTTTATCCCAATTATATTTTTTTTTTACAAAATGGAGGGTGCCATTTCTTTCTTTTTTATCATACTGTCACTTTATTTTTGACTTGCCATGTATTCATATTTTCATCTGTGATAAACACAAATTGAGCTACTGCCATAGTCACACAAAAATAGAGTCTAATTGCCTGCCTTGTCTCCTTTCTAAATGTCAATTGCGTTTGCATGAGTCGAGAAGACTTTTGTTCCATTAATCGCTAAATGCTGTTTAAGGCCATCACAATAAGCGATTGAAATATTGGCAATATGTTGTACTTGTAAATTGCTAAAATATTCAATCAAATTGCCCGGCAAAGTAGCCGATGCGGGCGATGCGTGCGCACGCAGCCATGAATCCTAAAAGTGCATCTCGCCCATCACATTCAGTTTGTGACAGCGCCCTTCTATTTTGTCGGCCTCATTCTCAAATAGGCTAATGACGATGATGACGGCGGGCAGATTAACAGAAGATAGATCAGGCAAATATGGTTCATCAATCTTCTATAGTACATTGTATCTGTAATGGTATTGACATTATACACAAATAAAGTGGCATTACATTTCAGCCTAAGCCAGGCCTCTCTGGCTACCACCTCTCAATTTGTGGGTCTACATGTACAAGTTATATTCCATGACTGAAATTTTAAAAAATAAATCAATATTTTCTTGCTCCAAATTTTTTTTGGAATCAGGTTTACAAGGAGGTCCAATGTAAAATTAAAGCTGCTTTTAAATATCCGTTAGTAGTCATTGCTGAAACCAAGGGGTGGCTGTGGGGTTTAGGGTCCGAGTTCCTATAACAGATGAAACATCCACCTTTAACTTTTTACTTTTGTCAAGTTTCAACATTGCAAAAAACTAGTTCAAATTGTCGTACTCCTAAGTTAGAGTTTCTTCATCAGATTGACACTTTATAGTAGTTAAACAATATTATATTTTAAAAAAATATGTTTTAAAAAAGTGGCAACATATGGAGTTCATCAAATTAGGTTTTCCCCTTCTTTAAATTAGGTTGTTTCCATTTTTTTTAATTGATTGTGACAATAACAAATTCTGTTGCCATGTTGTAATTTATGGTATGAAGCAAACATGAAGAGCACTCGAATGACACAATTAAGCAGGTACAAGGGATTCCTAGCTTTCGATCACTTCCTTTACATCCCCATCAACATCATCATCTCAAGGACAGACTGTTCAGCTGTAATAAGTGTCTTGTTTTTTATTTAGATTATTGTTATTTATTATCCGCGGTCTCGGTCTCGGTCTCGGACCATTTCGGTCTCGGTCTCTGTCTGCCTTGAAGGGGTTGGTCTCGGTCTCGGTCTCGCAACTTCAGGTCTCGGTCTTGGTCTCGGTCTCGGTCTATCCGGTCTCGACTACAACACTGGTGAATAGTCCTATAGTGAATAGTCCTATTGTGAATAGTCCTATAGTGAATAGTCCTATCGTGAATAGTCCTATAGTAACAAGTCCTATTATGAATAGTCCTATAGTGAATAGTCCTATCGTGAATAGTCCTATAGTAACAAGTCCTATTATGAATAGTCCTATAGTGAATAGTCCTATCGTGAATAGTCCTATAGTGAATAGTCCTATATAGTCCTTTAGTGAATAGTCCTATAGTAAATAGTCCTATAGTGAATAGTCCTATCGTGAATAGTCCTGTAGTGAATAGTCACTTCCTTGGTATGAAAATAGTACCTGGAATGTTTTGGGCTCTTACAAGCATTTTCACTAAGATAACAGTTTGGAAAGGTTGTTTTAATGTAGAATTTTATAATGCACATAATGTTTTCATTGTTGTGAGACCTTATTTCCCATAGTGAACAGTCACGTCCTTGGTGGTATGCAAATATATATGAATCTGGCTGCAGCCGGTATTTAATCGCTGGAAATATGAATGCCAAAATACAATGTTCATGTAACGTTGCTGCCGTTTCACACATGTAGCCTATATAATAGAAACAGGATTTTCCAACAGTTTGTGAAATTTCCTTTGGCCTTTATGGCAAAATCTCTACAATACTGAAGGGAAGAATCTGCGCTCTGTACAAACATACACCTCAAACAATTATCAAAAAGCTTCTGCTACAACGTATGTACCCGGTACTAACCAAACAACTCCCAGGAAATCATTGTGCTAGTCGCGACTGTACATGCACAATGATGTCACCGAGATATTTACTTTTGACTTTTGAGCACACATTTTAATTAAATTTAAACGTGATAGAATGTCGTCACCTGTCAATTTGTTGCGTGGGTTGCTGCTATAACATGTCATTTTATTGCATGGTTTATATTTGTACCATAAGCTCAGATTTATCTTGGTACAGAATTAAATGTTGGGAACTGCATCTGTGCCATTAATAAAAATGAGTCTTGTCCCTCGGGTGTAATGGAAAGTAATTTCTCTCTCAAGTGCCGGTGACAGCTAGGATACAAAACTGGTGCCATTTGATGCTATTGGGCTACTTGGATAAATTTAACTTCATGTTTAGACAATTCTTGTAGTTTGTTTAGACAATTCTTGTAATTGATACATTAACTAAATTTAAAAAAAATTAAATATATGTAAAGAATAGGGTTTACCCACACACATTTAGAAGTTGCCAAAGCTACTTTGTCTGCGAGAACTTGTTTACATTGTGGAGAAAAGGCAAATGTTTAAATACTATTTGTAGAAGCAGAAGTCCTATGGAGATGTCTTTGCAGTGACAAGTTTTCTTAACATTTTATTTTGAGACATAATATCCAGTATTTTGCTGTTGGACTTGTATTGTTTGTCATTTCCTAAAAAGGTTCTGATGATGAGGTTTCCTTATTCATTGGGGTATTTTCCCCTCTTTTTCTCCATTTGTAGACTGTTTGCATCAAGCAGCCATCTTTGAGGTGTGTTTTGTTATTTTGAATTCAGTAAAAAAGAACACACAAGTATCTTCTCATGCTTATGCGGAGTGCCGTGGCCTCGTGGTCTGGAGCATTGAATTTGTGGTCTGCGGGTAATTCTGCAGGTTGTGGGTGTGAGTCCAGCCTGCGGTTATGGTGCCCTTGGGCAAGGCACTTTGTCACTCATTGCTTCTCCCCACCCAGGAGTAAATGGGTACCTGTGAGGGCAGAGTTGGTCATTGTGGTTGATTTAAGCTGCTTTGCGCCCAAATAGCAGCATCGAGCTGTATACTCCCCAGGGAGCTGAGATGATCTTTGGAATGTTTCCTATCTGCCCAATGAGCAGGGTAATGATGATGTAGCGCCTTGAGCACCAATAATGGTGGATACGTGCGCTTTATAAACACCCATTGTTATTAATATTATTATTACTAATCATCACGAACACACACCACTAAAAAGATGGCGACAGTGCACAAGATTTAGGCCTGTCTGCTGACTTTAACACTGTTTTTCTTAAAAATAAAAAATCCAAGGCATCTTTTGGAATGAAAGTGACAGCTTTCTCAATAAATTTTTATGAAAACAACTAACAATTCCGACCGTCTTGCTGAAATTGTAATATAGTCTACCGACGTACCTCAACTCCCTTGGTGCTGGCGCGCAAACCTTTTTCAATCTCGTTTATCTCCAGTGGTTTGTTGATGGCCATCGTCCTTAGTTCCTGTCAACAGAAGAAAAACAACTGACAAGCATGAGTATGAATTCCAATGAGAAAAAAAAACAGGAAATTTGCGCCAAATCAGGAAGAAATTGTGAAATCAGGTGAAAAAGCTCCAAAACAGGCTCAAAATAAATAAAAACGCGGAAATTTGGGCAACAAAAAAACCCAGGAATTCCTGTTTAAACAGGAACATTCTCATGCCTACATGTAAGTTGTCAACAAAGCAAACAAGAAATTCTTTGATTAAAAATTATCTTGGTTTTTTTTGTAGAAAACTGTAACTTCAGCTGAGGGTTATGTTATGCATGACTAAAACCTAAAGGAATATGTTTGTTTTTGTTTTGTGTTTTTTTAACTGAGCATAAAGCACTTGTAAAAATACTGTAAAATTCCATTTCGTTTTCCCCTAAATCAACATTCTTTCAACCAGTTAATATTTTACATTGTAAGACAAAGACACTAAAAAAAGTCCTTAATTCTAACCTACATGTACAACTCCATCACAATTGGGTAATTGCCAAAAGGTTTCAAACTGAAGTGTAGTCCTTTTCATGTCACTTTTACTATTTCAATCACCGCTGTCTAAGAATACCAGTACAATGTTTGCATCATCTAAATGGCATTGCAAATTACTCAATCCTAATAGAATTAACAGGCAATTTTAGTCTTAATTGTCTGGATTCTAAGTGGTACTCGCTGTACAATGCAATTGCTAAATGAATGGTCAGTACAAAGTCAATGAAGAAAATGGTATAAAGTGGAAAATGGCATACAATAACCTAATTCATAACTCTTCGCTTGATGGCTGTATCAAATATATTTCAACATTTCATTTCACATTGACTTGTTTTCAGCGATTTCAGTAATTTCTGCTCTAACATGTCTAAGAGGTATTTTTTTCTGTTAAATAAGATATTGACTCAACATATAGGCCTATGTCTGTGCAGCATTCCCAAAGAAAACGGAGTCTTTCCTTTGTTGTTGCACACACATTAGTGGATTTTTTTTTTCACAGAAAAATTTGGAATCAAGTTTCTGTTAGAAAATAGAGTGACTTGTACACATAGATTTAATTCCTATCGTAGTTTACTTGTATGATTTCAATAAATCGCGCGTTAACATCTTGACACCAACTACATTTCGATGTACATGTAAACCCTTACTATGATACAAATGTCATGTTTTGTACTTTTGAAATGTTTAGTTTTTTCCCCCTTTCTCTTCTGACTGAATCGTTGTTGGTGATTTTAATCACTTACCCTGAGTTCAACCTCCTTCCCAAGAAGATCATACAGACTTGCTCCCTTGGTGGTTATTTGTGATGCTAGGAGACGACAGGCCTTCAGGTCTGAAACCTGAAAATAATACGGAGACAAACACGTTTATGAATTATGCATACAACTTGCATTATCGCTTTCAAAATAAATTTGAAGTAGGATTGCATCTACTCCGTACAAACATCACAGCATATTGACACTTCCAACCATGCCAACTGAGTTTTTGGTTCCTAAATATATTTCTCAAAGGAAATTGAGCATAAAGTGTTTTAACTTGAGTTTTCATTTCAGCTCATAACTTCAAACAAAAAATGTAAAAAGCAAATTCAATATCATTCTCATAACAGAAGAATTACATTAAGCATTCGGAAGGAGATAATGCTTTTTAAAAGCAATTTGAATCGGTCATCCTTTCATATACATGGATAAATTTGATAGTCCGACTCTTAGAAACAAATAACTTAAAAATTGCATTCAAGTACAACATGCACATTCTTGATCATTGCCGCAAGAAAAACAAACGACAGTTTCACAACACCGGATGCATACTCACAAGAAAGCATAATAAACAAAACTAGCAAAATCATTCCGACCTTTTCTTGACAGATTTATGAAGTGGGATTTTAATCAAACAAATTGCTATTACTAGTCATTCCTCAGGGGCCTTACAAACAACACACGGATTCATCAATCTAATTTCTTCAAACTGACACACAAGCTGTGTACATGTATGTAGGCCCTACCTACTTTCCTCAAGCTGCAAGGCTAGTTCAGCTGGTATCCCTTTTAATAATTAATGTACTATAGTTTGTTCAAAGGGATTAGAGATCTGACATTTTATGAGCTGCCTGGCTTAAGTTTTGCTACAGGGGCAGCAGGTCTTCTTTACATATTTTTAGGCCAGTCTGGTTAAGAAAAATAAAACCGGACATGTGAAAGATATTTCATTCTATTTTTCAGTCTTGTAGATTTATGATACGGTTAATACTAGGCAAAACAGTATGGCCTGACCTTTCAACTCTAAGAGGATCTTTATCAAAGGCAAAATGCAGAAATTTGCCTCTGTCTGCAAAATTCATGACACTGCAGACACATGAAATTTTATTTAAGAAATCTAGGAAATCATTGGGAATCTTCCCTTTACTGCTCATTCTTCTTCTTAAATATCGTTCAAGAGTTATAATGTAAAAATGCATGGGACATTGGAAATATCAACATGTACTGTATTCATGGTATTAAAGAATTACTTGTTCTATGGGCCAAGTTATTAACAACAACAAAACTATTAATTCTGAGATAGGATTATTTTGATCTTTACATACATAATCTAGCTTAAACAAAACTAGCTAAATAACATGGTGTGCTGGATATTTTATTGTCTAAACTTTTATACCGGTACTTAAAATATAACGTGATGAAAAAATACGGTACTAGCCAAGCCAATCGGGTTCACTGATGTTTAAGGCATGCCTGTGTATATATTCAAAGTTTGTTTGTTCTGGACCTTGAGTGGAAAATATGCCAGCATATGGTTATAATCATAAAGGGATATTTACTGAGGAATTCAGGAATTGTTCCGGTCATTTATGTGACGAAAGCTAGGAGGAAAACGTTGTGTGGTACATGAAGAATAGGGACAATACCGGTATACTTCTGCAGACATTCAGTACTTTTATCTTAGTCTTTTTAAATATTTATTGGATTTAAAAAACTAATTTTAAACACTTTTGAATTTCTTTATTTTACTAACAATATTTATCGAAGTGCAGTCAAGATAAAACAGCAAGAAATCTAACACACATGATCAATTTTTGCACTATCTACATCAGTGTTGTAGTCGAGACCGGATAGTCCGAGACTGAGACCAAGACCGAGACCTGAAGTTGCGAAACCGAGACCGAGACCGAGACCAGCCCCTTCAAGGCGGACCGAGACCGATACCGAAATGGTCCGAGACCAAGACCGAGACCGAGACCGAGACCGCGGATAATAAATAACAATAATCTAAATAAACAACAAGACACTAATTACAGCTGAACAGTCTGTCCTTGATATGTTGATGTTCATGGGGATGTGAAGGAAGTGATTGAAAGTTAGGAATCACTTGTACCTGCTTAATTGTGTCATGCGAGTGCTCTTCGTGTTTGCTTCATGCCATAAATTACAACATGGCAAAAGAATTTGTTATTGTCACAATCAATTAAAAAAATTGGAAACAACCTAATTTAAAGAAGGGGAAAACCTTATTTGATTAACTCCATATATTTTTGCCACTTTTTAAAAAATATATATATTTTTTAAATATTGTTTAACTACTATAAAGTGTATATCTGATGAAGAAACTCTAACTTAGGAGTACGACAATCTGTACTAGTTTTTGCAAAACTTGAACATGTTGAGACTTGACGAAAGTAAAAAGTTAAAGGTCGATGTTTCATCTGTTATAGCAACTCGATATCGGACCCTAAACTCCACAGCCACCCCTTGGTTTCAGCAATGACCACTAACGGATATTTAAATGCAACTTTAATTTTACATTGGACCTCCTTGTAAACCTGATTTGAAAAAAGTTTGGAGCAAGAAAATATTGATTTATTTTTTAAAATTTCAGTCATGGAATATAGATTTGTACATGTAGACCAAAAAAATGAGAGATGGTAGCCAGATATGGATTGGTCTGCCCCCCCCCCCCCATCCCTCTGTGTGATTCTCCTTCCAACCCTGCATGTTTGTGTGTCCCCTACATGTTTGTTTGTTGTTCCTCTGTCATTTACCTCTGAAGAAGGCCTGGCTAAGGCTGAAATGTAATGCCACTTTATTTTTGTTTAATGCCAATAACGTTATATATACTATAGAAGATTGATGAACCATATTTGCGTGATCTATCTTCTGTTAATCTGCCCGCTGTCATCATCATCATTGTCTGGTCAAACACATCGTTTGATGACAGTGTTTTATGCTTTTGTTTGTCCTTGACAGCCCCTGTTCATGTGGTTTTACATTTCCTTTTAATTCAATTTTATATAATGTCTAAAGATGTAAAATAAATAAATCATTAGCCTATTTGAGAATATGGCCGACACAATAGAAGGGCGCTGTCACAAACTGAATGTGGTGGGTGAGATGCACTTTTAGGATTCATGGCTCAGTGCCCACGCCTCTCTGTGTTTTGTACCGTGCCATCATTTCGCCCGTATCGGCTACTTTGCTGGGCGATTTACTTGAATATTTTAGTGATTAACAAGTATGACATATTGCCAATATATTAATCGTTTATTGTGATGGCCGTAAACAGCATATAGCGATTAATGGAACACAATTCTTCTCGACTCATGCAAATGCAATTGACATTTAGGAAGGAGACGATGCAGGCAATTAGACTCTATTTTGTGTGACTATGGCAGTAGCTCAATTTGTGTCACAGATGAAAAGATGAATACATGGCGAGTCAAAAAGAAAGTGACCGTATGATAAAAAAAAAATGGCACGCTCCATTTTGTAAAAAATGTAATTGGGATAAAGAACATGTTATTGAGTAGTAACTGTGAACATTTCACGTAATTTGCATACTCTATTCCCAAGTCTTGTCTATTTTAATAAAGAGATCACAAAATTCAGCTGTCCACCACTAATACCAATTTGACGGTCTACGAATTGATGAATATCCATTAATAAATATAATGGAGAAAAAAAACGTTTTCCCGCCTCCACGAATAAAGGAAAAATTGAAAAGGAAAATAGAAAAGAAATCACCAATATTTCTAGGGAAAAAGAGTTGAATTGTTCCCCATATTCAAAACACAAAATCTGACGGTAAAAATAATGTTTCAGTCTTGATTCATAAGATTTAAATCTCAGTTGTATTTGGAATCAATGAGGATGGCTATAAAGTGCTTGTTTCAACGGATCATCCCACAATAAAAACGAGAAATAAGAAGAGGAGCAATGGTTATTGGACTATGCCTCACTCACTAGAAAGTGAAGAGAGACATGTCTATTAGCATCACACTGCAGTCACATTTGCCCTAAACTGATTCTTTACTTAACCCTAAAAGGGCCGGGGGTGGAATCCGCGCCCCTCACTTTTTGGCTGGTCTCGACTCGAGACCAGCCAAAATATCGAGACCACAGGGGACCGAGACCGAGACCAAGACCGAGACCACAGCTCCCGAGACCGAGACCGAGACCGGCAAAAAGTGGTCTCGAGACCGAGACCGAGACCGGTCTTGAGACCTACAACACTGATCTACATGTATTTTTCAATAGCAAATTCTCACTCAGATTCACAATTCATGACATTGAGCTACATTAGTTTTGTGTTTCTTGTTTTTTATATTTCAGAGGAGGTAAGATTAAGATTCTATCCTTCTTCTTTTACAAGAACTTAACAACAGTTTCCTGAATGATTTCTAAAGGTTTTAACCTTTTATCAAAGAAACTAGTCCTGTAATTTGGAGTTCAATGTCATTCCATGATGTATCATTGTATAGTACGGGATAAAATGTCCCTTTGCACAGCACTGTCTTTTGGGATAATTTGTAAGATACTAATGGATGGGAAGACACATTAACACAGTCACAATGGTAGAAATTTTACGCTTTGGAAAACAAAGATAAACCAGGATGTAAGGACTTAAACAGAGGCTTAGATCTGTTTTCAGTCGGCACAAGAGAAATAAAATCACGGAAGCATTCATCATTTGATTATGATCGTAGCACAGAACAAGAATATCAGTCTCACCTTGGATCTGGAGGAAATATCCCAAGTCTAGATTCTAATCGTTAGCTAGTTGCCATTGTCAAAACCCTGACACTACATGTACATGAACCTTTAATGGGTTTATAGGTGGACAGGCTTAGGCCGCAAAAAGGAATTGTGTGTTTATAGTAACGTCCTAAAAATTAGGTAGGTAGGCATGGTAGGTAAGAAAATGATTTTATTTAGAAATGTTTATAGTCTTTCATTTACTTTAGGATACCTAAGTTTAGGTTATTAAACAAAAAACTGCATAAGCCGTTTCGCGTCTACCCCCATCTTTGAAATTTTGGGGGGGCCATTGCAATAAAAATACGTCCCAT